GGCCATCTTGCACTTTTTTTTCACAGAAAAGTAAATTCCTAAAGCTATCTAAACTACTTATTTCAACCTTTAAAATAGTGTCTTCAAGGTTTTACCTAAAAGTGTACATAATGGCCTTTTGTAGAGTAGCTACGAGATACTGCTGTTTCAGAAACCCTGAGAGACATCACATCAGTTTGGGAGATTGTTAGGCCTGTTGTTGAGGATGTCGTGTCATGGATGGAATTCTTCAACACATGCTGCTGTCTATTATGCTCACTCCCAGAGAATGTTCTAGAAGCTGGAAATACACACTAACAAGATGGACTACAGCTCATCACTTGTGTCTCTAATGTGCTGCTGTAGCCACAGCGTGTGGGCTAGCGTGGAAGCAGTCTGACTGTAGAATGAGCTCACATACATGTAAATGAAGGGGAAAGTCAGCTCCAGGAAGGAAGGTGCTGTCAGTCTCCCATGTTTAAAGGCCAGTCTGTTGCATAGTGGTCTCCATCTGCCCTGGTTAAGAACGTAGCTAGACGGAGCTGGAGAGATGGCTCAGTGGTTAAGAGCACTGGCTAGTCTTCCAGAGGACCTGAGTTCAATTCCCAGCAACCACATGGTGGCTTACAACCATCTGTAATGAGATCTGGTGCCCTCTGCTGGCATACAGAAGATTGTATAATAAATAAAATATTTTTAAAAAAAGAATGTAGCTAGAAATTTAAAGACATCAACCTAGGCCCTGGACAGACATGGTTTTGCACGACGCCTGTGAGGTGCCAGTAGGCCATTTAGTCCCAACCTGCCTACCGAAAGTATTTCCTATATGAGTTTGAAGGTTTGGGCCTTTCTGCCCGAGAATGGAACTCTCAGGTCATTCTGAGAATTAAGCCAGTTTCCTGAGTAGGTGTTGATCGAAGCTGACTCCAGAGTAGAGGCTCAAAGTAGAGGAACAGCCAGATATTCTGTGGTAGTCACGTGTCTCCGTTTTTCTTCAGGGTTCTGAGTCAGGGTGACATTTGCCTTCATGGAGTGAAGTGCCTAGGAGACTGCGTGGGTATCCTGTGCTCCACAACTCTAGTGTCTAGAACTCTCAGTGACTAAGAATAATACTTATCTATGTGGTCTCACAAATTCCCACGAACCTAAGCAGACAACCATGCTTTTACAAAGGGCAAGTTAAATCTCCCAAAGCCTCTGGTGGGCTGTGGAGGGCAGGGGCTCTCGGAGAGAGCTGCTTGAGTGCTTAGCTCTTGCCCTACCTTTTCCTTCTCAGGGACAGGAGGCCCTGTGGTTTAGCAGAAGAGACTGGGGATGTCACCAAGGAACACAAACAGGGAAACTGATTGAGTGGTGCTGGACTGATTTCGGAGAGCTTTAATTGTCACCAGGAGAGCAGCTTGGTCATGTTACTGTTTGGCTGTCACTTTCTTGTGGGCTTATGTTAATTCCCACGTGTACATTTCACTTTAATCATGATTGCATCCTTTCTAAACCGTAGCTGTTTTCATTCTCCCTGGCAGTCCTCTAATGTGCTTTGAGGCACCTGGCTGAGAGCCCTTTGTGAATTATTGTTCATTTCTATGTGCAGCAGCATGAGCTGTGGCCTGAGACATAGATAGTGACCTCAGTTCTGTCACTACAGATCTGGGGCCTTAAAGAAAGGTGGTTAGTAATTGTCTGGCTGCCATTGTTAGCCAGTGATTTAGTACTTTGCATATTATATCTGTGGGTGAGTTCATATCTACAGCATGATACTAGGTCTTGTAAAGATAACTTCCCATGAACTGAAGATACACAGTACTGTCAGCACAAATGGTCAGTCTCATGCCCTAAACCATCATAATACAGTCATTGTGCCTAGATCAGACAAATACATTTAGAGCAGCACTCAGAAGGCAGAGGCAGGTGGATCTCGAGTTGAGGCCAGCCTGGTCTGTGTACCGATTCTAGAGTGAGACTGTATTTCAAAAACAGAAGCAAACGTACATATTTGGTGCACACATGGATGGAGAGGCGAAGCTTGCTGAGAGACAAGCATATATGTATTATGCTAAGAGATTCCTCTCTGAAAGCTTTAGACTTTAGGAACCTGAGTTTTGTTTCTTTTTCTTTTTCCGTTTTTGCTTTTTGAGACAGGGTTTCTCCGTAGCTTTGGAACCTGTCCTGGAACTCGCTCTGTAGACTAGGCTGACCTTGAACTCTCAGAGATCTGCCTGTCTCTACCTCCCAAGTGCTGGGATTAAAGGTGTGCATACCACTACTGGCTAGAAACCTGAGTTTTTATAAACATGGGTTACCACTGCTCTCTAAATAACTGTCTATGTAGGATTCAGCATTGAAGACATTTATCGTTTTAATTCTTTGATAAAGATCAAATATTTTAAAACAATTTATATGTTATGTGTGTTTGTGTGAATGTATACTACTAGTGTGCATGCCTGTGGAAGCCAGAAGAGGACATCAGATCCCTAGGGACTGGAGTTGCAGGTATATGGTTCTGAGCCACTATGTGAGTGCTGGGGTCTAAACTCAGGCCATCTAGACGAATAGTAAGTGCTCTTAACCACTGAGCCATCTCCAGCCTGAAGACCAAATTTAAGAACTTCTTTCTAGCATATTTATCGTTAGTCCTCTAAGACCACTGTCTTAGAATCTGCCAATGAGTGAGTATCACCTCTTTGCTCTTTCCTGCCTGATCTGGTGGGAGAGTCTGGTACTTAGTGGGGCTTAGAAAGGGTTTATAATCCAGTGACTACTCTCATTTGAATTTTTCATCCATGTGTACCATGGATGTATCTTGTTCACAATCCACCCCTCCCTACCCCTTCGACTTCACCAGGACTCCCCTGCCACATCTCCCTCCCCACTTATTGTCCTCCTTTTATTGTTTTTTAATCCCCTGAATCTAGTTAGTGCTCACATGCATCTGGGTGTAGAACCATCTACTAGGGCGTGGAGAACCTACTTAGTGGTTACACTTCTGAAGAAACGTGACTCTCCCTCCCCCAGCAACCATCACCTGCTCCTTAGCTAGAGCTCCTGGCCTTGGGAGCCTCTCACGCTGCTTGCTGGAATTTTTAACTGGCTTGATCTTGTACAGGTCTTGTGCTAGTAGCTGCTGTGAGTTGATGTGCAACAGGCAGGTCGTGCCCCAGAGGACTGCATTACACAGTGCACCTCCCCCTCCTGCAACTCCTCGATTCTTTTTGTCCTCCCCCACAGGGTTTGCCAAGACTTTCAGGGAGGGAGGGAGGAGCCAACAGTGGTGTCTTAAACTGCCATCTTATGTACCTTTAGGTACTTGGCAGTGACACTGATGTCTTGGCAGGAAAATCCACAGTGCTTCTAAGCAGATTGTGATGAGGCGGGAATTGATTATTTTGGGATCAAACCCAGGACCTTGGCCATACTAAGAAAGTGCTCTACCTCAGAACTGTATGCCTAACACCCCTTTAATTCAATTTTTAAAATTCTGTAAGTAACCAGGTAGTGGTGGCACACACCTTTAATCCCAGCACTTGGGAGGCAGAGGCAGGCCAATCTCTCGAGCTTCAGGCCAAAGTGAGTTCCAGGACAGCCAGGGCTGTTACACAGAGAAACCCTGTCTAGAAAAACAACAAAATAATGTGTAATGTTCACAAAAGTATCTTTAAACTTTTAAAAACTAGTTTGCCTTTTAAATGAGTTGGCTTAATTCAGGGTGCTACAGAATTACAACAAAGATGGAACAGCTAGCTCTGGCAGGATTCCAGAGCTGGTTTAAGCCGGTTTACTTTAAATTTGCAACTAAGGTAGGAATAGCTGACCGTAAACTGGAGACAATGTTTTGTTTTGTTTGTTTTTAAAGGTTATTACAATGTACCACCAAACCAGGACAACACTTCATTCTCACTGGATGTGGCAGGAAACCTGGAGGTTTAAAAAGTAACAGTAGAGTCAGGCAGTGGTGCTGCACACCTTTAATCCCAGCACTGAGGAGGCAGGCAGGCAGATCTCTGAGTTCGAGACCAGCCTGGTCTACAAAGTGAGTTCTAGGACAGCTAAGTCTGTTACACAGAGAAACCCTGTCTGGAAAAATGAAAAACCAGACAAACAGGAACCAAAGAGGGTCACTTCAAGCACAAGGAACAGTCTTTTGACAGATTTCAATTCTTTGTGTGGCCAGTGGGCTCTTCTCTATGACTTTGACTTTTGTTGTTTTTAATTTTATTTTGGTTTTGTTTTTAAATGTTTACTTATGTGTATGGATATTCTGCTTGTATATATGTCTATGTATCATGTTCATGCCTGCTGCCCCTGGAAGCCAGAAGAGGGCGTTAGATTCCCTGGGACTAGAGTGACAGTTGTGAGCTGCATGTGGGTGCTGGGAATTGAACCCAGGTCCTCTGAAAGAGCACAGGGCTTTTCCACCCTGAGCTGTGTCTCCATCCCTGTGCACTTGGGTTTATGCAATGTCTAATCAGAAGTCTCATTTGCTTTTGCAGGCTGGTTGTCTTCTGCCCTATGAATAGCATTTCCTGGAATGGTTTGTCATGTCTTGCAGATATTCAATTATGATTTGAAAGGGGTTGTGGATTAACTTCGTCCTATGCATTCCTTCCCTTCTAGGTGAGTAACTGGTCTGGTATCATTCTCTAGGAAGCTGCTGAACATTGGCTTCATTTGTGATTACTCCCATGAAGACACAGTAGGCAGTCTTGGTGGTGGAGTTTGGAAGTTTCCGCATTGGTTTCCAGACGTGTGCTCTTACACATTCTTGTGCAGCTAGCAAAATGTCAATTGGTCAGATTAATTTGTGCTATGAACAGTTTAATTTTGGACTTACATTGCTTACATTGAAAGAAACATAGTGTAGACTTCACAGTGTGTTTTTTTTAATAGCAAGGACAATTTTATTTGTTTGGATTTATTTATTTATTATGTATACAGTTTCTGCCTGCAGGCCAGAAGAGTGCACCAGATCTCATTACAGATGGTTGTGAGCCATCATGTGGTTGTTGGGAATTGAACTCGGGACCTTTGGAAGAACAACCAGTGCTCTTAACTTCTGAGCCATCTCTCCAGCCCTATTATTTATTTTTTGAGACAGGGGTCTCTGTGTAGCCTAGCTAGTCTGGAACTATGTAGACCAATCTGTGCTCAACTGATAGATGTCCAACTGCCTCTGCCTATTGAGTGCTGGGACAAAAGTCATGCTGTACTATACTCAGCCAGTAGCAAAAATTTGACAACATTCCTGACTGCCGATAATTATATAAATAGAACTGGTACCTTTCTCATGGCTTATGGTTGTATTTTTCTGAATAGACGGAAAAGGCTATATAAATTTTATTTTTCTCAGGGACCTTGGGATGAAATGGAATGGGGATTTTGGGAGGGGTCCCCAGCCTTGAGAAGACTTCAGTCAGGTGATGATTCTGGTGTGCCTAGTGTAAGCTACACTCCTTTGCTGTGATTTGCCTCCCTTGTCAGAGTGACCACCAGGGTGGTTGTGAAGATATGGCCTTGGCCCTTCACCTCGAGGGAAGAGAGAGCCAGAGGGAGAACCAGGGTCTGTGCACTTGCCACTGCTGAGCCAGGGCTGTGATTCTAGACAAGTCCTCAGGATTCCCTGTGCTCTGGTGCCAGACTGCCTGTGTTTGAAGTTCTGCTCCACCAAATACCAGCCAGGCTCTGTGGCTCTCCTCCATCTGTAAAATGGAGAATGTGGTCATTGCTGTAGGAGTTAGTACTGTAGAGCACCTCCTAAACTCCACGTGTGTCCTAAGTAGGACTGTTTATTGGCCTGTCCAGACCTCCTGTCAGGCTCAGTACCTAAAGGGCAGCCAGAAGATGTTACTTTGAGCTTAGATGAGGCCATGTGGATTAAAGCAGACTTTAGTGGAAATGGACATGTGTACAGAGAACTTTACTTCCTGTGTTGAGGTACTGGGTCAAATGGATGATACGTCTTAACTATAACGGGTACAGCACTCACATATGTCCTTAAGCAAAATCCACAACTTGACACCCAGACATTTTAGACTAGCTACATAGAGCTTTAACATGGGGGAAACATACCAAGGGCTAGTCGATGAGAAAACAGCAAGCTGACCCAGCTATTTTATCTTGGTACTGTAAAATAAAGGGTCTGTCTAGATCACTCTGGATGCAGATGATCTTTAAACCTCTTGGGTTACTCAGCTAGCTGACACCAGGAAGGTAGATGCCGATGCGCTTAGGTGAGATGCTGTGCCATGTAACAGGGGCAGCCTAGTGTCCTTTGTCTCGGTCAGTTTCCATAGGCTGCCTGCCTGTCTACCTCATAGGCAACTGGAGACTGCAGAGGCCTCTGAAGGGTTGGTTTCCTTCTGCCCACTGCCCGTCCTAACCTGATATCCCAGCCTGGGGTGAATGATATCAGTTGTTGCCACAGGCACTTAAGAGGGAAGTTAAGGTAACAGTATCCTTCCTGGACAGGCAGCCTGCCCAGGATGTTGTCCAAGACTGTTTCTGAATTCCAGCAGTTATACATTTTGGGGAGTGAGTGGAAACTGAAGGTTAACCTTTTGTTTGCTTATGCGATAAGCAAAGGAGCTAAAAGTCATGGTTTGGGGGTAAACAGACAGAAAGGGTCGAGGTTTCTCCATCAGGGAGGGAGTTATGTCAGTCTGTGGAAAGTATGTAATCGTTTACTCAAGACTGCCCTGGGCCAGACTTCTGGTGGTTTCTGGAGAGGCAGCTGTAAGGTTCCTGCTTGAGCAGTGGTCAGCCATTTTTTTGATTGGTTAGATTTTGCAGTATAAAATCAGACAAAGCTAGGGCTATAAGCTAACCAGGGTGACCCAGCTTATTCAGAGGTCACCTGGACAGTGGGAGACAAGACCCTGGGGTGCCTGCAGCCATCTAGTCAGCTGTTAACTTTACAGCACATTCTCTTTGAGACAGGGTTTCTCTGTGGCTTTGGAGCCTGTCCTGGAACTCACTCTGTAGACCCGGCTGGCCTCAAACTCCCAGAAATCTGCCTGCCTCTGTCTTCCAAGTGCTGGGATTAAAGGTGTGGCCCACTACCACCTGGCCACAGCACATTCTCTTAGTGTTTGGGAGAGTAGAGTCAAGGATTTGTTTTTCAAGAAACCCCTTGCCCTACTGGGAAGGGTCTTTTGAAGTCCTGCCTTGTGTTTAGTTTGGGGGCTAGCTAAAACTCATCCCAATAGAGTCTTAGTTACCAGATAAGTATTGGGCAGAGGAAGAGGAGTTTGTGTGAGTCAGGAGTTAGGCTCTGGAATCGGTTCTGGGGCTGCTTCCCAGCGGAAGCATTTACAAGTGTGATTTCGAGTAAGTCACCTAGTTCAGGGCCACCTTTCTCATCTATAGGATGGACTAATGAAGCTTCCTGTGCCTGGCAGCTGGTCTTACTCAATTCACTAGCCAGCCAGTGGGAGGAGTGCAAAAGGTTTTTGTTCCTGCATGTCAGATCCTTCTGACATCATGTATGATGAGGGGGTGGACAGTGGACTCAGGTGTCTCCCTGGCAACACATCCTTCCCACCCATAACTTTAGTGTCTGCGGCAGCACTCCAGTGAGGCCTGCTGGCTTCCATTATCTCAACACCTCCCTGCCCAGCCCCAAGTTACTCCCTGTGGAATAAAGGCTGTCTGATTTACCACTGTCAAGTATTGACTGTTTTTCATTAACCAAGCTAAAGGCTTATCTGCTTCGGTAGAGGAACTGTCTCAGTGTTTCTGGAATCTGCAGGACCAGGACACACTCAGTCCCCATTAAGATGGTGCTTCAGAAGGACTGGGAGTCAGCAGTTCTGTTGGCTTGCTGAAGAAAAGAGAGGAACCCCGGGACTGGGATTTACCTACAGAATAGTCCCACTGCCTAAAGTTGAATTTGTTTTGCCCCCCAACTCCTCACAAGATTTCCCTTGACTGAGCAGGCTTGAAGCATTGGTGTGAATGTGTTGCTTGGCAACAAGATTTTGTGGTGTCTAGTTTCTCAAATAGTCAACCCATCAATTTTCAGCCTTCCCCTCAGCTGGCCCGCAGCTCCCACCAGAGCCTCCTGTTAGACAATCGTGTGTGGCAGAGGGAGGGACCAGAGACGGGTAAAGTTTAATCATTGAACCGAGCAGCTGGAAGTATTTAGTTCTAGCACCCAGCTCCCGGCCTGAACGAGAGGTTGCAGCACTCCACAGAGGAGGGCAGTGACTGTACGGAAATCTCTGCCTGTCTCAGGAACAACCAAACTCGGGAAACATGTTTGCAGTACACTTGATGGCATTTTACTTCACCAAGCTGAAGGAGGATCAGATCAAGAAGGTAAGGGCTGAGGTGTCCGGCCATCTACACTGACAGACTCAACTGACTCCCGCTCAATATCAAAAGGGATGAAGGCGCAGGGGGTAGGGTAATTCTAGTGGCTGGCTGCTTGCTTAGTTCGTGTGACATCCTGGGTTCAAGCCTCAGCATGGAAAGAAAAAAGTATTTAAGAGACCTTACTAGAAAAGATACTGGGAGACAATAGCATTGGAAGTCTCAGAGGGAAAGAGGTAGTGAGCCTCCTATATTTCTTACTGTCCCAAGTGTTGGCTTTCAGTCAAACCTCTTGACAAATAGGGGATGTGGAATTCTTTAGAAAGCTCAAAGAACTTTATGGTCAATTGAGGGACAAGGTCACAATGGAGGTGAGTCATTTGTAAGGAATCAGAACTTTTAAAAGTGCATCTAATTATTTGTTTGTTTGAAATCACATAAAATAAAGGCACCAAGAGGAATGTGGGTTTTATTTGATTATTTTGAGACAGGGTCTCATTATGTAGCCCACACTAGTCTCAGACTACTGCCTCAGCCTCCCAAGTACCTAGAATTACAAGGTCATGCCATTAGGCATGACTAGGATGTAACTTTTAATACATTTGTAATTTTTTTAGCATGTGCTATTGGCCAGTGGTGTCCTATTAATGGTGAGGACTTTTGGCTATTTTGCCCCAGGTTCTAGTCTGCAAAATCAAATTGGGCCATAGTTGACTGATGAGATCGGGACTCTCTCCTGGCGGCTAGAAGGAGCCCAGCCTGTCTCACTAGTCACACTCACTGGCTGCTGCCAGCTGCAAGGAGGAGGCCTGTGGCATCTCAACAGATAGAAACAGCAGTCCTCTTGGCAGTTGGACTCCGCCAAGGTCACCTGGGCATTAAAAGTTAAGCAAGGATCCAGCTGAGATTGGCAGATCCTTCCTGTAGCCTTCAAAATGCTTTTCGAAATGTAAAACAGGGAATGTGGTCCCTTGTAGCCTCCTGTGCTGGTGAGCACACTCCCTCTAATGTATTCCTGGGAGAGCCAGCTGCAAGCTGAAGGCAGGGTGAGACCCTCTGCTTTAACAGTTGTTTCATTCTGTCATTGTTGACTGGATTCGCAGAGCCCTCTGCTGACTGCTTGAGGAGTGTAAAGTCCTCTGCAGCCCTGCTTCAGAGCTCACTTTCTGTTTCTGCCTGCTTGGTAGAGATGCCACCCTTAAGGGGAATCTTTGAAACTTTGGAACCTTCAGTTTGCAAAGTCACTTCATATCCTTGACTCTTTATAGCACCTGTCCTCTTGTTCTGGCCTGAGACTACTCTGGAGCACATTATTAGTCCACCAACCCAAGCACAGGCTCCATTGATATATGCCAGATCCTTCTGGAAGAAGTGCCAGCGTTTAGTCAATTCCTGGGTTGAGTTGCTTCCCTCACCATGGAAAGTAAGAGAGTCAGGAATCCTTGGAAGTCACCCTAAGCAAGGAACCAGCAGGTCCCTTGGCTTGCGGGCCCACTGGTTTGTAGTTGGTCTGAGTCACAGCTTGGAGGACATTCCTCCACAGGTCAAAAACGACCTGTCACAAGGCAAAGTGCATCATCTGAGTGGTAATTCTCTCAGTGCTTCCTGCCCGACAGTTTGCACACTTCCTGCTTGGAATTGTCAAGGTCTTGGGACATGCTTGCCTGCAAAGATGACTCATCAGACCCTTGAACCATGTTTGGAAATCTCAGAAAGACATTAAGACCAAAAGAAGGCCACTGTCTGACATTCGTTTCCAGGTCAATATATTGACATATTTGACCTATTGATAATGCTGGGGTTGGACCTGGTCACTGACTCATACATGGTTCATTCATAAGAACAGGGCAGATTGGGCTCCAGTGTGTGTGTGTGTGTGTGTGTGTGTGTGTGTGTGTGTGTGTGTGTGTTTACAGTTTAGTAAGTCAACACTGCAAAAGTGTGGAGATGTTCACCTGACTCTCACCTCTAGGTTCCCTGAGCCCTCAGTCTCCCGCGTGTTCTGTGGCAGCTCTGCTCATGGCGTGTGCTTTGCAGTTGGGTTGGCGTGCCTTGTGCATCAGCTCTGATGGTCTCTGTACCCACTTCTCCATCATCTTCATGATCACCTTCCGTGTCTTCCTCACGGTTCACTAGGCAGATGTGCCCTACAGCATTTCACTTTTCCCTCTTGTTGGTTATTTGGAAGCTTTCAGAAACATTAACAATTATAATATTACTATATTAAAGCAAGAATATTCGGGTTCTCCCTTGAAATGGCTTTCTGGTTTAACCCAACATACAAACCAAGTTCCCTCAGTGGAAAAAATCACTACAATGAACAGTGGCATATATTTGTTATTATTTGGGGTAAATTTCTGAGAATAAAATTTCAGAAGAGAAACCAGTAGTTCAAAGTGTGGAACCTGTTTATGATTCAATTCGGGTATGAGACCTTTGGACTGAGTGGTCTTTCAGGCCCCTTCCTCCTGTAACTGAGTAGGCTTGACATCTGCTCTCTCTAAAGCTGGTCAGCTCTCCTTTTGGTTGGAAATCTCAGGAAGTGGCCTGGGCTCCTGCCACTCATGTTCTTGTGCCTAGTACATGTGTCTCATTTACACAGCCTCCAGATCACCTGTCTGGATTGAAGATAGTACTTTTTCTTTTGTGTCCCAACATGTGTCTCCCTCCCTCCTCGCTACTGTTTTAGGACGATACAAAGAATAAACAAGAACTCGCTAAGTTGACATTCTTTCTTGTGTGACTGACTCATGCTCACTGAAAGAGCAGCAGTGACTTGAGGTGCTAATGACAGTTTCGTCTTACCCATGTGCTCCCCCATGTCTTATATGAGATGGTAGCCTACCCATGTGCTCCCCCATGTCTTACATGAGATGGTAGCCTACCCATGTGCTCCCCCATGTCTTATATGAGATGGTAGCCTACCCATGTGCTCCCCCATGTCTTACATGAGATGGTAGCCTACCCATGTGCTCCCCCATGTCTTATATGAGATGGTAGCCTACCCATGTGCTCCCCAGTCTTACATGAGATGGTAGCCTACCCATGTGCTCCCCAGTCTTACATGAGATGGCAGTCTGTGGATGTCTGGAGAAGTTCTTTATGTTCAGGTGAAGCAGTAGACTTAGGGCTCCCTCTGGGGGTTTTGGCAGGACTAAGTTGAGTTCCTACATAGAGCATTCCATCCTTCCTCTGACCCAATTACTTGGGTCATGTCCTTTCTACCCAGTTTTCTCCATTCGTGCCAACCAATTAGTCATCAAAAGCCGAGCAGGAAGCCCTAATGAAGCATGACATGGTTACATCCCATCTCAAATATGCTGAAAGCTCCATTGTCCTTTTTTTGTTGGGGGCCTCTGATAGTTTTCTGGACTCTTTTTACCTCCACCCAGACCCCAGAGTCATGGGGCCATTTCACTATCCTGGGCCTCTTGATTGGGTCCTTCTGTCCTCTGAGACCCAGCTAAAGAGGACTAACACTTGTGCCCAGAATAGAGCACTTTTTGGTATGGTTAATCTGTGGGGCTTGTGGGTGTACCTATGGAGGGCAGTAGTCCAGTTCTGTTATGCTATCAGGGCTCTGATCTTTGCCTTCCTCATCTCTCAGCTAGGGATTGAAATTTGCCCTTATCTAGACATCTTAAAGTGTCATGGAGGGTTGATGGGGTGACACGCACAATGCTTTGAAGAAAGAAGCACATGTTCTTTGACTTGGATAGTGTTCTCCTTCTAGGAGTGTTCCTGGAGTCGGGCCTCCTTTGGGACCTGGATGGGAGGAGGAGATGGTACCCGGTAAATGCAGCAGGCTATTTCCTCCTGCCTATCCATAATCCATTCTCATGAGCCTGAGAATTCACACTGTCATCAGCAATTGACTAAGAGACTTCACTGCCATCCCTAATGTGAAATGTTACCATCAAGGCAATGGAATACACTGCAGTGATTTTTATAACATCCCGCATTGGGGCAGTGGCCCACTGCCTCAATCCTGACTACTTAAATGGCATCCTGTTCCCAATAACAAGTTGACATGACTTGTTTTTGTATTTTTGAGGCACATGTAACCCAAGCTGGCCTATATCGCCAACGATGGCTTTGGGCTCCTGATGCTCCCCCTCTACCTCCTATGTGCTAGAATTACAGACATGTACCACCATGCCAGTCTTTGATGTGACTTTAAAAATTAGACTTCCAATTAGTGAGCCTCGGTTTCAAAAAGCAAAGCAAAACTCTATCTGCATTAGGACAGTATCACTACCTCAGTTAAATAGAAATTTAGAGATTACAGTTGTCAGTCAAGCCTAGTTCTAAGCTTCATGTTAGCCAATAAGCAAAGAGACAGGTTCGGATGTATCGGCTGGATGCAAGAAAGCTTCCATGGTAAGCCAAGCATGGTGACACATACCTGCAATCCCACTCAGGAGGCAGAGTCAGGAGGATCGCTAGTTTGAGGCCAACCTGGGCAACTTAGCAAATTCTAGGCTACCCTTGTCTACATGGCTGTATAGTGAAACTGTCTCCAAGCAAACAAACAAAAAAGAAGTATGGCAACCTTAGATTTGAGGTATAACTAATCTTCCATTGGAGAGACAGTGGTACAAGGGATTAGATGCCCAAGTGGAATTGGGATTAGATGCCCAACCCCCCCCCCACTGTAACGGGGAAGCACTTCTTCCTCAGTTTGCCCTTCAGAGAAATCAGTCTGTCCCATCTCAGTCTCCCCTTCCTTCCTCCCACCTCCCTGCCTTGTCCTCAGCTGATGAGGTACAGGTAAGGAGCCACAGGAGTGCACATGACAAGCTGTCCCCAGAGTACGGAGTTCTCAGTAGTACTGGGAGTTCACAGCCTCAGCTGGGAGGGCAAGCACCCCCAGGAGCCAACCCTGGCCAACCCAGCATCTGTTCCAGGTGGACAGGTTCCTGTATCACATGCGGCTCTCAGATGAGACCCTCGTGGACATCATGACCCGGTTCCAGGCTGAGATGGAGAAAGGCCTGGGGAAGGACACCAACCCCACCGCGTCAGTAAAGATGCTGCCCACATTCGTCAGGGCCATTCCAGATGGCTCAGGTGAGTGGGGTTCAGGATCACCAGAACCCCTTCCCTCCCTTCCCATACCAGCATCTAAGTTGATGGATAACCTATTGCTTGCCCTTGTCTCTCTCCAACCTCCCCTCCTCTCTCTGCCTCAGCCCTGCTAACTGAACACTTTGGGGCCCTCAGGCAGAGGCTCTTGGATATCCTTCTGCCCTCTGTGACCTCGCTCATTCTAGGTGCCCCCTGCTGCAGAGTCCCTCAGAAACTCCTGTGAGTGCCACCTTAATTTTCCAGGGGCAGCTCCAAGACCAATCACTGCCTCTCTCTAGGAAGTGTCCCGACACTGAGATAGGGGCTTGTCAGAGCCCTTGTCACAGTTGTGGGTGACAGTCTCCAGAAGCCAGGGTTTCGTTACCACATTGTTCTGAGCACTTACCAAACACCCGTCCCTGACACACATGTTGAATGAATGGTATGTGGCCTTCTGTCCTCAGCCTCCAGAATCCAGGCCAGAAATAGTAAGTAGTGAAAGGAAGTGTGTGGTGAAATAATACGAAATAGCTATCCAAGAACCTGGACCTGGGCCCAGCTCTGTCACACCTTAGTGACTTCAATCAGTGCTTAGCCTTCTTTGTCCATCTGTGAGATGAGAGAGTTGGCCTATCCACATACTGGACTGGATATCAAACCCAGGGCCTTGGCCATGCTGGACAAGTCTTTATCACTGAGCCGAGTTGTCAGCTCCTCCATCTTGGGTCCCTGTGGCTGTTCTGTTCTTGGGGATGAGCCCGGGAACTCTGATGTAGTCTATACAGATCCAGATGATGATTCCAGTACTCTCCACTAAGACCTGGCTCCATGTTGGCCCGAGCATAAGCTCTGTCCACCTGTAGCAGCTCCTAAACATGTTCCTAGAGACTTTGTGGATTAACACAATAGATATTCAGCCATACTTCAGCAAGTCAGAAGTTTGAAAACTTCCACTGGGCTTAACACAAGTTGTCAAGCAGGGCTGCATTCCTCCTGGAGACTGGGGCGCAGTTAAGGCAAAACTGTTTCTTGCCTTTTCTAGTTTCTAGAAGCACCCACATTCCTTGCTCTATCTCCATCCTCAAAGCCAACAATGTGTCTTCAGATCTTTGCCCTTGCCTTGTCTTCTGTATATAAAGGTCCTCCTATTACGTCAGCCCACTGAGATAATCCAGGCCGGTCTCTCAACAGAAAGGTCAGTTGATGACAATTCTGATTCTGCCTGCATCCTGCAACCTTAATTCCCCTTTGCATGTGCTCTAGCATAGGCCTATGAGCCAGTGAATAGGCTGCGGACTGGGCGGGGAGCACTTTATTTTCCAACCACCACTGCCCAGTGCTCTCTGGAAGGACCCATGAGCTCCTACCCAGCTCTCCTGCTTTTTCTTGAGCACACAATGCCATTGTGGGACACTAGGGTCTCTCTGTCATTTGCTCCTCTGAGAACATCATGGGGTGACTGCTGTTGCTAGGTCTTCCTAGTTTCAGGGTGTCAGTGCTCAGAGTCTTAGAGCTATGGAAGGAACAAAGACTGAGGTTTGGGGCCTTCCATTGGATTAACAGGATTCTGGGGACAATGCTTGGGTCAAAGTAGCTTGGCTTGCTAGGTAAGAGGCCCAAGAGACAGCACTGGGTGGGGGAGGCATTGCATACTTTCTTATAGGTGGGTGTTTGTGGGCAGTGTACATGGTTCTTAACTTCCTAATGCTACAACCCTTCAATACAGTTCCTCATGTTGTGGTGACCCCTAACCATAAAATTATTTTCATTACTACTTCATAACTGTAATTTCGCTACTGTTACGTGAATCATAATGTAAATATCTGTGCTTTCTGATGGTCTTAGGTGACCCCTGTGAAAGGGTCATTTAACCCTCAAAGGGTTTCGACCCACAGGTTGAGAACCACTGACATGATTTGAAGAGTCATAACTCTACTTTGAAATCTGGGCTCTGCCTCTGACCTTAGAGGCGAGTGCTGCGGGAACTGTGGTCCTTGACAGGTTGTCCAGGGTCATCTGACCTGAGTCATGGGGTGTGTGTGGGTGGCACGGAGCACCAGGGCTAAGTCCTCCTAACCTGGACTGGGTGTGGCTCCAGAGGAAGGGAAAGTGGCCATGGGTAGGCTGTTAGCTGTGGGACTGCTTCAGAGAGTTAAGAGATGAGACTCAAATTCTTCAATCTGGGAGATGCACACCTTGTATCACGGTCCTCTGATGACCTCTCAATACATGATACAGAGCCATGCCATTCTGTGTCACTTAGGTCCTGGAACCTAGAGTCTCTAATGACCAGATGCCCTTGGTAAATGCTAGGACTGCTATTCTGTGGTCCACACCAGTAGGGCATAGTTAGAGCATTGCATTCATTTGTAGGTTGTCAGTGGAAGAGGCAAGGGACTGTCTGCTTCCCCTGAAGACTAAGTCTTAAGTTAGCTGAACTGAACGCCAACAAACAGACTCAGGAGAAAGCTTGTAGTTTCATCAATGTGTCCGCGTGTACAGGAACCATACAGAACACAGAACTCAAAAGAGGGCCAATGGGTTGTTACTTTACTACCTCTTTGGAGGGGAGAGGGGAGGGAGGGCTTGAGGCAGTGTCAGGGGTAGTAAATGCCTCCACTCTTTGTTGGGGTTCAGGGTGAAATGTTCATTCAGATCAGGTTGGTGGGCCCTGGGGCTGCAGGACCTAGGTTTCATACTTGCTAAGGCATAAGAGTCTCATGCACCAAGAAATTGCTAGACGTGGTTCCCAAGCCTTCCTCTGGGGAATATGGGTCTCCCGAAATCTATCTGTTAACCACTGGGTGCTCTTAGGGGACACTGTGTGGGAAATGGGAAAGGAACTGAGCGAGGCCCCAGCAGTGATGTTGGGAAGGGAACCCTATTTCTGAGGACCTCCCCATCTTGGGAGGCTACTTCCTTTTGTGCATGCTTGCGGTGTGTGCATGTGAGTACAGGTGTGCGTGTGAGTAGGGAGGTTGTAGGTGACATCAGGTGATATCCTCAATTGCTTCTCTACCTTCTCTGTCACTGAACCTAGTGCTCGCTGACTGGCTAGATTGGATGGCCACCAAACCTCAGAGATCCTCCAGCCTCTGCCTTCCCACTGATGGGATTATAGACATGCATGGCCTTTTACGTAGGTGCTGGGGATCAAATTCAGGTCCTCATGCTTGTGCAACAATTGCTTTACCAGAAAGGGCTGCTGAGCCCTTTCTGCAGCCCCACATAGGGAGGCTGCTTTCTTAACAATTGCTATGAAAGGCCCCTCTTTCCCCCCACCCCCTTCACCTCCTACCCCACCCTTCTACCCCCATTCTCCTGTTCAGCCTGGACAGGGCCTCCCTCCACCAGGGTCCAGGAAGTCATTCCCCTGGGGTTAGAGCCACACCACGTGGAAGGGATCATACCACATGGTTTCCTTGAAATGACATCTTGAGTCACTGGGGAGCAAGGTGTTTACACAGCGATAAGGGTATGATGCAGGGCAGAGGGAGGACACTAGTGAGTTCTCCGCTCGCCACCTCCCTCTCTGCAGTAGGACAACCTACCCGCCTCTGGCTGGAGGCCTTTTTTCCAAATTTGGCCTTCCCTTCCATAAATTCTCTCTGTGGCTCCCTGTCACCTTCTGTGACTCACTCCCACCGTACCCCCTCCCCCACTCCTCTGTGGCTGGGACACATGCTCCTCCTGCCTGGCTGCCCCTTCACATTTTACCTTGTCTTAGCACCATGGGGAACTGGCCGCCCCCTCTCACCTCTCCTGTGCTTGCTCAACAGAGCGGTTTTTTTTTTTTTCCTATCTAGCACTGTACTTCTGATAAGGTCCCCAGGGTGCTCACACCCTGTCATCTTGGCCTCCCAGGAACTGGCACTGATAGGGTGTTAGGTGCTCTGGGAATGTTTGCACGACTTCCACACCAGTACAACACAGCTCTTCCGGGGATGGATTTAATAAGTGTGTAGGATTTTGTACCTGGATTCCTTGGCCCAGTAACAGACCTTAAATGGTTCTCTGGGGCTCCCTTCAGTGCTAATCAAAGGAGATAATCTCTAGCTTTTTCCACTGAAACCAAAATCCAGCTGCCTGGGTCTATAAATGATTGACACCTGGGCTAGCTGGAGGCTTGTTTAGAAGTGCAGAGTTGCAGGCCCCCTCCAGTCATAGCTGCTTGCAAACTAGGTTCCCAGAGAGGTACATGAGTGACAGTTTGCACAGCACTTCCGGCCAGCTAAGCCTCAGCCTTTAACCCTTGGATTGCCAGACTAGAGAAACCTCTGGAGCAAAGTGCGGACATGTTGGTTATGCAAGGCCATGGGGATTGAGAAGGAGGCACACCGAATTTCATGGAAGCCCTAAAGCAGGCCCTTCTGTGCAGTCGGCTTGGGGGCCTGGGCCTGTGAACGTCCTCTCTGTCCTCCTGCTTGCTGTCTGCTGGAGATCTTCTGTGTTAGCTCTGGGGGCTCCCAAGGAGTGACAGACTGCCCAGCTGACCCTTGAGATACAGTAGCTGAGGTTGCCATTGTATGACTTCAAGCACTGCTATTTGGGGTTGTGGGCATGGAATTTCTCTTCAGTGTACACACCCGGCATATGAAACCACTCTTCAGGCATAGATAGGTCTTCATAAACACTTCATTGTTAGGAGGCGAACTTCCCACACACAACACCAAAGGCACTGACAAAGGTCCTGTGTAGATGTCATCAGGGTGGGGCGCCTCACCTAAAACTTGCATCATTCTGTATCTTCTTTTGAAGCATCCTTCTTGGGCCAGGCCGGGTGCTGTTGGAGAGACTGTGCCCCCCACCCCCAATTAAGTATCTTTGGTGTACCCTAAGGTCTATCATCTGGTCCCTGTTGCCCTCCCCTCCTGGAGTGTTCCCCTGAGGACTGAAGTTTGTATAGAGGCTAGCCTCTCTTTACTGCGCCCCTCTCTTCTTCACGCCTTCCTTTATCTGAGTTTCCTGTGCGATCGGTGCCATGGCTTTCTTCCCAGATACAGCATGCTGGAGTGGGCTCATTCCTCAGACGCCATCACAAAGAGGGTTCACACGTGCCTATTCCCACTGACCTTGCTCATTCTCTCCAGCATGGCCGAGTGAAGCAGGGTCAGGCTCACACCTCGGCTCTGCCCCCTACTGCACAGTGCAGACCGTGGGGTCGTGAGGTTGCTCAGCACTTGCTGTATGACCATCTTGTGTCACAGGAGAGATCTTTACTGAATGGTGACTGTTTGGGTTTCTCATAGAAAACGGGGAATTCCTTTCCCTGGATCTTGGAGGATCCAAGTTTCGGGTCTTGAAGGTACAGGTCTCTGAAGAGGGGAAGCAGAATGTCCAAATGGAGAGTCAGTTCTACCCAACGCCTAATGAAATCATCCGCGGGAATGGCACCCAGGTACCGGCAGGACGGACAGGCCTGGGTACTGGCCACCAGAGGCGGCGCCCTGAACGCTGTGCTTGCATCCTTTCCTGCAGCTCTTTGACTACGTAGCTGACTGCCTGGCAGATTTCATGAGAACCAGAGATCTGACGCATAAGAAGCTGCCCCTGGGCTTTACCTTCTCGTTTCCCTGCAGACAGACTAAGCTGGAGGAGGTAAGACTGGGGGGTTGGGGCATGTGAGCATATGCAAGGGAGCAGCGTGAAATTCTGGTCTGTGGGTCTTTCCTCTGCTTTTTGCCAGTGTGTGAGAGAGAGTTGGGTGACTCGGAGCTTTGATTCTGTGTTTAACCTACACAGCATACAGGGGCAGAATGCTTAGGTGGCTCTCAGGAGGCCTTGCTGGACCATGTAGTCAGCGGGTCTGCAGTGGGCCTTAAGTGCACATCACTAGAGTGCCCGGCTTCTTCAGAGTCACAGGGATCTGCCTGCCTCTGCCCCTAGCTCCTGTTGGTGAAGCCAGGAGGTTGCCTGAGCCTAGCAAGGCAGAAGTTACCGGCAGTGGCCACACGGTGGCAGTGCGGCACAGAAAGCAATCTTGGGGCTGCTCATGGATTGTGAGGTCTGACCGGAGACCCAGAGTTACTTCCTGTCTCTTTTTCTTTGTCCATAACTGAGGGGACAGGAAAAAGGGTGTCTAGAGTCTGTGAGCTTGGGCTTAGCTGCTCCCAGCTGTGTGGATGGACTTGGGAAATTCTGTCCAAGTTCTCTTCTGATCTGAAACAAACACACAAAAAAACCTCTGCAGTCAGGTGGTAATGGATCACACCTTTAGTCCCAGAACTCAGGAGGCAGAGGCAGGTGAATCTCTGTGAGTTCAAGGCCAGCCTGGTTTACTGAGTGAGTTCCAGGGCAGGCTCCAAAAAGCTACAGAGAAACCTTGTCTCAAAAAAACAAAACAAAACAAACAAACAAACAACAAAACAAAGGCCTGAAATTTCTGTGATTCCAGGTGAGAAATGCCATTTGTAAGTAATTGACCATTAAACTTGAGAACCGTGTTTCCAAGTTGAAATTAAGTTCTCCAGGGGGCCGAAGAGATGGCTCAGAGGTTAAGAGCACTGACTGCTCTTCCAGAGGACCTGCGTTCATTCCTGGCAACCACATAGTGGCTCACAACCATCTATAATGAAATCTGGTACCCTCCTTTGGCATGCAGGCATACATCCCGACAGAACACTGTATACATAATAAATAAATGAAATTAAGTTCCCCCGGGGAATTCTTACAAGGTAACACCATGTCAGTTCTGTTTGGGGACCCGCAAATTGTGCATTCAATACACATACTGCATGTGCCCTACTCCAGACATTTTGAGGGGATCACCTTCCTGTGCTGCTGGAGGTGGAGGCAGGGGTGGGGGAGTGGGTGGCAGTGCTTCTGTTATACAAACGAAAAACCCGAGGCTCCAGTGGTGTGTGAATCAGGCTCTGACTCCAGCAATTATGCTTCCTGTGACTGAGATAAGAGGAGTAAAGGAAGGTGTCTCAATTATAAAATATTCCCCCGAGGCAACATTAAAAGTTTCTCTGTGAGATATGCAATCAACCCAAGTGTCTCTCAGCTGGTGAGTAGATAAAGAAAGGGACCTGTATACAATGGAATACTATCCAGTCATCAAAGGGATGACTGTCTTCTCTGTCACTTGTGGGAATGTGGAGAGATATTAAATGCAGTGTAATAAGCTAGGCACAGAAGACAAATTACACACATCTCTCTTGTTTTTGAAATCTAGGTAAGTCTCACCATGAATACCATGACTGTTTGTGGTGGTTATGCAAATTGCTCTGACTGCATTGTGTACTGAAGGCCCCTTCTATACCCCATAAATCCATGCTATTATTATGAATCAATTAGAAACAAAATGAAATTCAAAAGAATCAGAGTGATGGGGCATAGAGAAGGGAACCCATGGGGACTTGGACACAGGCTGTCTGTCTGTCTGCTGCAGTCCAGCCTGAACACCTCCTTATATTAACCTGAACATCCTCACAGGGCTTCCTGCTTTCTTGGACCAAGAAGTTCAAGGCCCGGGGCGTTCAGGACACAGACGTGGTGGGTCGCCTTGCCAACGCCATGAAAAAGCACAAGGTGAGGGACTCACTTCCTCGTGGAGCCTCCCAGACCTTGACTCTTGGGCTTGGGCCCTTGTACTACACCGGCCTGGAAGAAGAACTGGGCGGGGTTGGAGCTGTCTTGTTGTAGTGAGGATGAGCACAGTTATACAGGCCTTCTGGAGAACCACAGAGGGACAGCCTTTTATTCCTGCATCCCCAGACACCACACCCCCTTCAGGAGGACTGGACTGTTGCTGTGTTTAAGCCCCACTTTCCCTCCTCTCTGGGCTGGGATATAGTGGTGGCAAAGCATATGCACAGGCCTTGGGGACAATTCCTGGTTCTACCAACCAACCAACCCACCAACTTACCAACCAACCAACCCACCAACTTACCAACCCACCAACTTACCAACCAACCCACCCACCCACCAACCAACCCACCAACTTACCAACCAACCCACCAACTTACCAACCAACCCACCAACTTACCAACCAACCAACCCACCAACTTACCAACCAACCCACCAACTTACCAACCAACCCACCCACCCACCAACCAACCCACCAACTTACCAACCAACCAACCCACCAACTTACCAACCCACCAACCCACCAACTTACCAACCAACCAACCCACCAACTTACCAACCAACCCACCAACTTACCAACCAACCCACCCACCCACCAACCAACCCACCAACTTACCAACCAACCCACCAACTTACCAACCAACCCACCAACTTACCAACCAACCCAACCAACCCACCAACTTACCAACCAACCCACCAACTTACCAACCAACCCACCCACCCACCAACCAACCCACCAACTTACCAACCAACCCACCAACTTACCAACCAACCCACCAACTTACCAACCAACCCACCCACCCACCAACCAACCAACCCACCAACCCACCAACGAACCAACCCACCTACCCACCCACCAACCAACCAACCCACCAACCCACCAACGAACCAACCCACCTACCCACCCACCAACCAACCAACCAACCATACAAATACCAAAGAACCCAAAAGATACTCTTGTTGGCCTAGCTCTCTATTCTGCTTCCTACTCCTACCTTTGGATGATATTTTACAATTATTTATACAGCATCAAAAGTAAGCTCTTAAAAGAAATCCCAAATGCAACACTTAAAACCTAAACTGCTTGTTTCCTGGTGAGAGAAGAACCATTTCTATTGTTATTGGCCGAGCTGGTGAATGAGCCCCTAGAACAGTGGCAGAATGTGCCACTCTGAATTATGATCTCCCAGTCCCAGAGGAACATTTTGATGTGTCACCTTCCAGTCCTTTCTTCTCACTTTAAAACAGTCCTCCAGACTTAAAGGAACTTTGGTATAATGGCTGGAGTTGACTGGACAGAATAGGAAACCCATATAGGAAAGATGGGTTTTGGTCAAGGCCATGCTTGCTGGCTGGCCAAGACTAGCATGCTTGCTTGCCTTCCTTCCTTCCTTCCTTCCTTCCTTCCTTCCTTCCTTCCTTCCTTCCTTCCTTCCTTCCTTGCTTAAGAGTTGTTTATTATGTACACAGTATTCAGTATTCTATTTGCATGTATGTTTGCAGGCCAGAAGAGGGCACCAGATCTCACTGTAGATGGTTGTGAGCTACCATGTGGTTGCTGGGAATTGAACCCAGGACCCCTGGAAGATCAGTCAGTGCTCTTACCCTCTGAGGCATCTCTCCAGCCCTGTGTTTTCTTTTAGAAATATCATTTCCCCGGGACAGATGTGTTTTCCACTGTGTCCCCCGGGGTAGATACCAGAGGCTGCCCCCACATTCCTCTTATTTATGCAAGTCCTTCTCCTCAATGCAGGAGCCTTGACCCAGAGCCTTGACAAAATCTGTTTCTCGCAGGCTGTCTAGTGATGCTCACTGTTTGGTGAGGGTGGGGGAGTAAAGCTTCCTACTGCTGATACCCTTGAGGCCTTGTGTTCACCAGGACCTTGACGTGGACATCCTGGCCTTGGTTAATGACACCGTGGGGACCATGATGACTTGTGCTTATGATGATCCCAGCTGTGAAGTCGGTGTTATCATTGGTAACTCAATGGACTTGGTGTTTTCGAGGTGGGAGAGGGGGCTAGTTGGGGCTGAGTTTGAGTAAAATCTAAATAAATATGGAGGGTGCTGCCACTTTTCAGGAGAAGCAACACAGGGAGGTAGGAAACCTTCTGTCTGTCCATCTCCCCTCCTTCCTTCTGTCCTCCCTCTGTCCATATGTCCATCTGTCCTTCTGTCCATCCATCCATCCATCCATTCATCCATCCTCCTTCTACCCATCATTCCTTCAGCCCTCCTTCCATCCTCCCTTTCTCCATTTATCTTCCCTCACTCCCTTCCATCCATCCTCCCTTCTTCTCTCCCTCTCTCCTTCCATTTCCATCCATCCATCCCATCCATCTTCATTCTCTATCCATCTTCCCTCCATCCATCCATTCTTCCTCCTCCATCTCTATCCCCTGCCCCTCCTTCCCACTCTGGTCTCTTCATGTGTGGTGTGCTGGGCCTGTGCTCAGGGCTGGCTCCTGTACTCTCTTTCTCTTCCAGGGCAGGTGGGGGGCAGTTTCTGATTTTCCAAAAGGGATTCCTTGGCTTGGCTTCCCTAAGGGAGGTCTGTCTACGTGAGCAGCTTGAAACCCTTCCAGGGACCTCCCCCCACCACTTCACATTGGGGCAGGCTTTGCCAGTCACAGGATTCCCTGCTGTTGTCCCCTCTGTCTGTCTTGGTGACTGTGTTTGGATTCACAGATTGAGTTTCAAGCCCGAGCTTTGTCCCACGTTTGTCTGTGAAAAGCTTTTCCACATACCATGTTATAGTCTGCATTTTTATGTGTCTCATTTCTTCATATTACCATTAAAAATACCCAGACCAGGGTATCGGCCAGGGAGAGAATCAGTAAACGAGTGGAGGAATGAAATGTCAAAGCAGCTTTACTGAGGCATAAAATCTCTCTTGCTTCAGGTATGTACTTTAATGGTTTTTCTCCATAAATTCTCAGAGCCTTGTAAGCTCAGGTCATTCTAGTTTTAAAACATTTTCCCTATCCAAAAGCATCCAAAAAAGGTGTACCCATTTGCAGCCATTCCCCAGTACTGGTGTGTGTGTTTCCTTGGAGTGGTTTTGTTCTCAGCAAAGGAATCTGGATTCCTTAGAAGGTATTTACTATCAAAGATCAGATGAACCTCTCCTGGGGACCATTGATGGAGTCAGGAGAGAATAGTGTGAGCAGACCTGAGAGATGTCCCCGCACCTGTCCTGAGGACCACTGATGGAGTCAGGAGAGAATAGTGTGAGCAGACCTGAGAGATGTCCCCGCACCTGTCCTGAGGACCACTGATGGAGTCAGGAGTGAGTAGTGTGAAGGGACCTGAGAGATGTCCCGGCACCTGTCCTGAGGACCATTGATGGAGTCAGGAGTGAGTAGTGTGAGCAGACTGAGAGATGTCCCGGCACCTGTCCTGAGGACCATTGATGGAGTCAGGAGTGAGTAGTGTGAGCAGACTGAGAGATGTCCCGGCACCTGTCCTGAGGACCATTGATGGAGTCAGGAGTGAGTAGTGTGAGCAGACTGAGAGATGGCTCAGCCCTAAGGGCATGGGGAGGCCCCGAGTTCCATTTCCAGGACCCACCCTGGGTGGCTCACACATCTGTAACTCCAGCCTCAGGGCATCTGACCCCCATTCTGGACTCCACAGCCACCTATACACATATGCACATACCCACCCCATAACTAAAGAAGTTTAAAGAACAGTTCTAGTGTCACATAGAGGGGAATGGGGTAACTTAGGGAAAGTGTAAGGAAGTACTCTGATGGCCAGGATTTGTAGTTTTTAATTTATGATGTTGACTTACCCTTTCTTCCCTGGTATGCTTTTTTATTTAAACACTGGTGCATATTCACAAGGAATGGTTTCACAATTGCCTCCACTCATAGCTGCATGCCATCATGACCTGAGGCGTGTGGGCCCCACCTGTGGGCCCCACTCCCCGTGAGCTCAGGCTTGCCGGAGTGGTTCCCACCTCCAGAGCCAGCGGGGCAGAGTAAAAGCACCTGCATGCATTGTTTAGTACTCAGGGAAGTTAAGTTCTCCTCAGCTTACCCAGCCTGGTGCCCTTTTCTCTTTGTGTGTTCTCTCTGACCCAATTTCCAGGAACAGGCACCAACGCGTGTTACATGGAAGACATGAGCAACATCGACCTTGTGGAAGGCGACGAGGGAAGGATGTGCATCAACACAGAGTGGGGGGCCTTCGGGGACGACGGGGCTTTGGAGGACATTCGCACAGAGTTTGACAGAGAGCTGGACCTTGGCTCGCTCAACCCTGGGAAGCAACTGTAAGTGCCCTCGTGTCCATCCAGGTATCAGCACTGGGAAGTCCCTGCCCACTCAGTCCCTCTCTGTATCGAGGAAGGTTTCTAACTGTGACTGGTCAGTTCCCACAACGAGTCTGTCCCCTAGGATATAACCGCAGTTCTCAGGCAGTCACCCTAGGCTATAACCACGGTTCTTTTTTTTTTTTTTTTTTTTTTGGTTTTTACGAGACAGGGTTTCTCTGTATTGTTTCAGAGGCTATCAGTCCAGCCCGGCCTCGAACTCACAGAGATCCGCCTGCCTCTACCTCCTGAGTGCTGGGAATAAAGGCGTGCGCCACCACCGCCCGGCCTATAACCACGGTTCTTATGTAGTTCACAGTTTTGGAGTATGCGTGTGCATGCAAGGCTCTGCTAATAAGGTTGAGAACCAAATGGCATGCTTCTACCTTTGTTGAGTCTGGAGGCAAATGGGTACAGAGGAAAGCCAGGCATAGAAACACAGGCCCTTGCCCTGGGATTCGTGTGTGTGCTTCCCGGGGGCTCCCCTGCCACCAGACATCCTCAAGAGCCCCATCTCACATCAGCCCATGGGTTCAGCCACGCCCTTTTTGAGTTTCAGCTGTAGAAAAGCCGCTCTGGCATCCCTGCAGCTCTTTGCTATGTGCTGGGCCTACTCAAGGCTTAGGGCACAGCTGGCTTTGCTGTCCTTTATACATGTAATATCTCACGCATCTTTGCAGCTTGTTGCTTTTGCTTTTTTGTCTGATCCTTGCACACACCAATTTCCCTGTAACTATGAGCTGTTGCAAGCTAAGGCTATAACATTCACTAGACTATCATTTTCATTTATCTCTGCTGCTTCATGTAAAAGAAATTCCACTCCCTTAAATCAAACCTTAATTTCACTTGCTTGCCTTCTGTTTCTTCAACGTTCTTAGGTGATCATTAAAAAATTTAGTTTGTTTTGTGTGTGTGTGTGTGTGTGTGTGTGTGTGTGTACATGTACTTGTGCAGGTATAAATGCAGGTGCCCACAGAAGCCAGAAGATGGCAATTTGTCCCCCTTCCCCAGAGCTGAAGTTACGGGAGGTTGTGAGCTGTCTGATGTGGGTCCTGGGAACTGAACTTGGGTCTTCTGGAAGAGCAGCAAATGCTCTTAACCACTGAGCCATCTCTCCAGTCCCAGTGGCCTGAAAGTTTTTATATTGCAATCTGTAAGGCTGGTTATGAAACAGATAGTCCTGGATTTTGTGTCTTACTATATTTGAAGACTGGAAATTATACAGGAAACAATTAGCAGTTGTCTGGTATCGAGACTCAGAGTAAAGAGGTGAGGGCTGTCTCCTGGGGTCTTCCATCTATGTTGTGGTGAACCTTCTCTGGGGCTCTCTAAGCTTGACGTCAGGCAGGTTTCTGTGACTAATGTCTGAGACAGTCAGCTTGAGAAGGTCTTCCTGGCTCCCAGTTTTGGAGGTTCTAGCCCATGACCAGCTGGTCCCGTTGCTTCTGGGCCTGTGGCCAGGCAACATGTTGTGGTGGAAGCATGCGGTTGAGGAAAGCATACATGGGGAGATTTACCTCATGGCTGGGAATGATGTGACACAGACTCGGGGGAGGGGAGAGGGCTGGGCTCTTCTCTCTCCTTCAAGGGCATGCTCCTAATGGTGAAGTCCACTTCATAAAGATCCCACCACCTTCCGACGGTGCCATATAAGAGGAGTACAAAGCCCTTGACAAATCGGCCCTCAGTGAACACTCCAGATTGAAATCTCAGCACCAGGTTCCCTGAGACAGAAGCTCAATACAGGAGTTGGAAGATCAGAGTCTCTGCTCTGGCTTGTCATTCCATGGCCTAATGAGCTTAGGAAATGGCTCCCCATGGCCAGGGCTACTTACTCCGCACTTGTTGGCATTAGGGAACTAATTCTGCTCAGCCTGAGGTGTTGGCATTAGGGAGCCAATGCTGCTCAGCCTGAAGTGTCACTTTTGCTGACCTGCTCATCCTTTTGCAGGTTTGAGAAGATGATCAGTGGCCTGTACATGGGGGAGCTGGTTAGGCTCATCTTACTAAAGATGGCCAAAGTCGGTCTCCTCTTTGGGGGTGCAAAATCCTCCGCCCTCCTTACAAAGGGCAAGATCGAAACACAGCACGTGGCTGCCATGGAGAAGTAAGATGTCGGGTGTCTGTCCCTCCTGCTTTGCCTCTGTGGAGGGCTGGGGTTGGTGGCCACAGTGCCATGTGCTCAGATGGCAGAGCAGCAGTAGGAGTCAGATCCTTCCTCCTTCACAGGGAGTTTCAGTCCTGGGCATAGCTTTAGACAAGCTAGAAATTTCTGCGTGGCTCAGTGTCACAGTCTTGTGGGTTTCATTAGCCAAGGGGCTATCAGAAAGCTACCCTCTTGCCACTTTTTTTTCCTGCCTTCTTCCTCCCTTGAATAGTGACTAGTAATATTTCTAGGGTCTCTTGGGGAATCAGAGTCAAGTGCTTAGTAAATGGTAGCTGCTGTTTGCAGTGCTCAGATGATTATTGGCTAAACTGTGTTATTATGAGATAACTCACACAACCCTGAGAGCACACATCCCAGCCGGATGCCCGTGGCATGGCAAAGTGTGGGCCTTTCTTTCCTGTCCCCTGGCTAGGTATAAAGAAGGCCTGGCCAACACGAGAGAGATCCTGGTGAATCTGGGCCTGGACCCCTCCGAGTCAGACTGCATAGCTGTCCAGCATGTGTGTACCATCGTCTCTTTCCGTTCTGCCAATCTCTGTGCTGCTGCTCTGGCAGCCATCTTGACACGCCTCCGAGAGAATAAGAAGCAGACCCGGCTCCGCACCACAGTGGGCATGGATGGAACCCTCTACAAGACACACCCTCAGTAAGTGTCCCCCACCCAGCCTGGATCCCACCACGGAGTCTCCCTTGTTGCTGAGCCCTGGCGCGTCTTCAGGTCTGTGTTGCATATCTAGGCAGCTAGAATCAACCGCCTCTTAGTAGTTGTAAGATTTCAAGTTCCCGACTGAAGAGAGCCTGCATTTACACTGCTGGCTGGGTGCGTTGGGGGAGTCACTCTTAAAGAGATGGGCCGTTAGCTGGATGTGATGTGCATACCAGTATCCACAGGACTCAGAGGTTGACCAGCCGCAGGCTCTCTAGGACAGAGCCATGAGGTACTCCACTGGACGGAGGTAGGAAGAGAGCAAGCCTCAGGCCAGCCTGAGCTACACAGCAAGAGCCATCTCAAAAAAAAAAAAGGCTGTTAAAGAAATTGCCTAATTAGAAAGTCACTCATCTGTGTGTCTATCCATTCATGTCACCCATCAGTGTGACTATTCGCTTATCTCTCCTGTGTCCATGTGTCCACCTGCTTGCCTGCCTGCGCGTCTGTCCCTCTCTCCTCCTGCCTGCCTATCTACCCGTCTTTCCCTCCATTATTTAGGTAAGACGGAAAAACCTAACTATTGATGAGGAGAATTAGCAATGGCAGAGGTTGCCAGGTCCTGCTCGGGGAAATGAAAATTCCTGGGGAGAATCCAGAGCGAAAGACCCTCTAGCTAATGGAGGCAGCTTTGGAAGCCAGGAGTGTACACCCTAGAGAGGGCTGAGCAAGTAAATTCCTCCTCTTTGGACAGAGGTGACATATGTCATCACACTGTCTATGCACGTGTCCTTTGTGTTGGAACATCAGCACCTCCCTCAGCTTCCAGCGCGTCCTTTCTACGGCCACAGCTGCCGTAGCCCAGCCTACACTGTCCACCAAGCAGGGCCCCTAGACCCCACTGCCCGCTAGCCCTGTGTCTGTTCCCACCGGCCAGACCCAGCTCTTACGACTGTTCAATATTTGCCTGCCACCTCTACCTCCAGGTACCCCAAACGCCTGCACAAGGTGGTGAGGAGACTGGTCCCAAACTGTGATGTCCGCTTCCTCCTGTCAGAGAGTGGCAGCACCAAGGGGGCCGCTATGGTGACCGCAGTAGCCTCTCGGGTGCAGGCCCAGCGTAAGCAGATTGACAAGGTGCTGGCTTTGTTCCAGCTGACCCGAGAGCAACTCATAGGTGTGCAGGACAAGATGCGGACTGAGCTCGAGTATGGGTTGAAGAAAAAGACTCATGCTCTGGCTACGGTGAAGATGCTCCCCACCTATGTCTATGGGATGCCTGATGGCACAGGTAGGTTGGCACAGTCACCTGCTCAACCGGGGTCTGCAGAGCTCCCATCTACACTATGCAAATGCAGTGAGTGTTAGAGCCTCGGGCGAGAAGAGGGGACAGTCGGTAGAGGTTAGTTCTGGAACTGCAAGACTTGGTTAAACCACTCCCACGCCTCTCTGTGTGTGTGTGTGTGTGTGTGTGTGTGTGCGTGTGTGTGTGTGTGTGTGTGTGTGTGTGTGTGTGAGTCTCCCTCTGGACTCTTGGGCTGTGTGGGTCTTCAGGGCTTCCTTCTTCTGGCAGGCCCTTTTCTGGGGTTTAGATCCTGGCCTCGCTCCTCACTGTTTTCTGCCCTGACTTCTCCAACTCCAGATCCTGCTGCTTCTCCATGCTCAGCAGAGGGAAACAGCTGAGTAGTGGAATTCGTATTCTGCGGCTGCCTAGCTGCTGGGACTCTCCAGAGCCTCTTCAGGGAGCAAGGGCCTTTGCCACCTGCTTTGGTGTTTTTTCTTTAAAAGCATTTTTATTTTACTTTTATTTTTTTTGGAAGTGTGTGTTGACATGCCACAGCACACATGCAGAGATTAGAGAACAGTTTGTGGGAGTTGGCTCTCTCTCCTTCCACCTTGTGGGTTCTGGGGATCAAACTCAGGTTGTTAGACTTGGTGGCAAGTGCCTTTACTCTTTGAGCTCAGCTCTCTTGCTGACCCATGCTTAGGCCTTACGGTTTGCTTTGGGTGCTGTCATTTCATCCTCACAAACCACTTTGCCTGTTACCAGAAGAGGGAACATTCCCATCTCATGAGCGCCGTGGGCTGGTAAGCTTGTGAGGCTCACACTTTGAATCTTTATTTCTCTGTGTAGCCCTGGCTGTCCTGGATCTCACTCTGTAGACCAGCCTGACCTCCAACTCAGAGATTTGTCTTCCTCGACTCCCGAGTGCTGACTGGGATTAAAGGCGTGTGCCGCTACCACCTGGCCACTTTGACTCTCTTAACAACAGTAGTTTTTTTTCTGGAGCCCAAGTCCTTCAGTTTACAGGAAATCAGGGAACAGGAAGACAAACCAACCAGTTCTTTCTCCTTTCATCCCTTTGCTTCTTCTGCCCTTGTCCCTGGAATCTCCATGAAGCAGCAACTGCGTGTCAGGCTCTGTTCCAGGCACGGCAATAGTGTGTAGTTCCTGTCCTTATGCGAGGGGCTTAGACAGGCAGGCAGACAGTGAAAACGTAAATGGGACGCGATACCAGGAAATGGCAGGCACTAGGAAGAAAGTGGAGATGGCTGGAATGGCGTCTTTGGCAATTCTGAAAAAGAGAGAGACCGATATGGTTAGATCTGAGTAGGTGAACGGAGAGCAATGAGCGCTTGTGTAGACCAGAGAGGCAGAGGAAGAGGTCCTGTGGCTAGGGACCTGCACAGTTAATGTTGCAGGGCTAGAGGTGGCTTCCCAGCCTGGGAACATGATGCTCAGTGAATAGGAAACAAGGATTGGTTTACGCCAGGCCAATGAGATGGCTCAGAGGGTGAAGGCGCTTACTTGTGCAAGCCTGGCAATCTGAGTTCGATCCCAGAGTCCTAGGTGGAGGTGGAAGGAGAGAACCAACTCCACGAAGTTGTTCTCTGACCTCCAAATATGTGCGGTGACACACTCACCCTCCCATCCACACCATGCACACACTTGCACACCGGAAAAGAGGTTCATGCTTGTGGTGTAGGATTCCCCTGGCCTGTTAAACAGCATAGAGACGAGTCCCTTGCACTCAGGTTAGCTGGCCAGGATTCCCCCTTAAGGTCTCCTGAGTGTCTAGTTCAGAACATTACGTCCTCTACCAGAAGCCCTGACTCAGTACACCGAGCTTGACACCTGTTGGTCAGTGGGGTTTAGAGCTAGAAGAACTCTTAAAGGCCCAACCTCCTTATAGTTTTTTTTTTCCTTACTCCTTGGGGGCCTGCCACCCAGCGCTCATATAAAACAGGGAGACTTATTCTTACTTAAGATTGCCTGGTGTTAGTTTGACTTGTTTCTAGCCAGCTTTTCTTAAATTATCCCATCTACCTTTTGCCTCTGGGTCTTTGCCTTTCTCTATTTCTGTATATCTTTTCTTTCCTTCTTATTCCGTGTTTGGCTGTGTGGTTGCCCCTGGCATCCTCCTCTCTTCCTTTTCTTGCTTTCTTGCCTTCCTTTTCTTATTTATTCTCTCTTCCTGGCAGTCCCACCCATCCCTCTCTCTTTCCTAGCTATTGGCTGTCCAGTTCCTTTTAGACGGATCAGGTGTTTTAGACAGGCAAAGTAACACAGCTTCACAGAGTTAAAACAAATGCAACATAAAAGAATGCAACACATCTTTGCATCATTAAAGAAATGTTCCACGGCAGAAATGAATGTAACACATCTTAAAACAATATTCCACAGCACCTCCTCCTTCAGTAGACATTGAAAGAGGCCCCAGGCTAGTTCTCAGAAGCAGTGGGTGGTATGGGTCTTAGGGGAAATGAGGGCTAAGAAAAGTACTTTGGCCTAAGGCTGGTGCAAGGCACCTGCTGGGGCCTGAATGCTCTTGGTCTGGGAGTCCAGGAGCAGAGGCTCCCCTTCTTCTGGGCTTGGCCCTCTATCCTTCCTCCAAGTGCCCAACAGGGTCCCTGCTCAGCATGTGTGGGTGGGATGCAGCCTTCATTTTCTCTGCCACAGAGAAGGGAAAGTTTCTTGCCCTGGATTTGGGGGGAACCAACTTCCGAGTTCTCCTGGTGAAGATCAGAAGTGGACGGAAGTCGGTGCGAATGTACAACAAGATCTTTGCCATCCCCCTGGAGATCATGCAGGGCACTGGTGAGGAGGTGAGTGTTCGGCCTGGTGCCAGCTGCCACACCCGTCAGCGCCTGCCCACATGAACGCCACTCTCTCCCTGCAGCTGTTTGACCACATCGTGCAGTGCATCGCTGACTTTCTGGACTACATGGGTCTCAAGGGGGTCCAGCTGCCTTTGGGCTTCACATTCTCCTTTCCCTGCAGACAGACCTGCATTGACAAGGTAAGTCGGCCCCGCCAGACACACGGCTGGCCTAGAGGCTGCCCTCCCCTGGGGCAGTTTCAAGGCTCCTCTTGTCTGTGCTCACATTAGGTTTTGCTCAGTGAACATATATATAGCAGATCCACATTATGTGATCTGGGACGCTCGCCACAGTGTGTCACTAAGCAGGGAAAGCAAGTGGTAGTGATTTACGTAAAATGTACATTTGCTCATTTCAAAGTGCATGTAGCAGAGAGAAATGGGTTTGGAGGGATTTTCATTGGATGTACAGTAGCAGTTACTCTTGGAGGAAGGGGTTTATTCTCACCAGTAACATTTTAGTTTAGTTTTTTTTAACAGAACTAACACACTCATGCTATTGCTGCCATTAAGAATGAATAGACTAACTGGGCATAGTGGTGTCTGCCTTTAATCCCAGCCCCTGAGAGGCTAAGGCAGGTGGATCTCTATGAGTTTGAGGGCAGTGTGGTCCACTTAGTGAGTTCCAGGACAGACTGGGCTGCATAATGAGACTCTGTCTCGGAAATAAAAAAACAACAACAAAATAACAAAGCTAAAACCAAAAATAACAAAACAAAACATAAAAAAACAACTGACAAATCAAACAAACAAACAAAAATCCATCCAAAAAGAGTGAATAGACTGTGGGAAAGAGCCCTGCATGGCTCTTAGTGCTTCTGAATGATGGATGGGCCCCAAACACAGCAACACCTCTGATCCAAGCCACTGACATTTCATGACTGCCCCAACTCCCAGAGGAGGCTGGTGAAGAGGGGGACAGCTGGGAGCAAAACTACCAATGGTCACAGGGAAAAAGAAAGATGAAAGATGGTTTATTGTTTTGTGGTTGCAATTTATAAAGAAGAGGCTTTCCAGTGGGAGTGCATCCTAAGGGCTCTGGAGAGGAGACTGAGGCTTGGTAGCTGAAGGCCTCGGGGTGAGTTCGGTGTCTAGCCAGGGGTTCCACGGGCCACCCTTCCTGGCCCAGCACCCTAGCTCTGCCAGTTGCTCCTACTCCCAGCTTTCTAGGCTGTGGAGCTGGGCTAAATAAACCCCAGACCAGAGTAACAGCTTCTATACATTAAAATACTACCATGAACATTGCGTTTATTGATTTTAGAAAATACAGAAAAATTAAAACGTACTCACTGGGGGCCAGAGAGATGGCTCAGTGGTTAAGAGCACTGGCTGCCCTTCCAGAGGTCCTGAGTTCAACTCTCAGAAACCACATGGTGGCTCACAACCATCTCTAGAGGGATCTGACACCCTTTTCCGGCATAAAGTCATACGTGCAGATAAGGTACTTATATACTCATATACATAAAATAAATAAATCTTTAAAAACAAAGTACTCATAGTCTTGAATCCAAAGATAACCAGCCACCCCTTGAGAACATATTGCTCCAGGCCCTTTTCTAGGCTGAACATTTCTGTCATTTTAAAAATAGAAAGTGGACCAAATCTCTGTGTTTTAATGGCTTTTATTTACAACTGTGTGATGAACACAGTTCTCCAGTGCACCATGTTTCCTGATGGTGCAGTTGTTCTGGTTTGAATTAACTTAGACAGTGATGACAAAGACAGTAAATCTTCACAATACTACTTGGGGACAAGATGGTGCTTTTCACTGTAGAACAGTGCTTTGTTTGACTGACAGGACCTCTGAGGACACCTCAGTCTGTCATGGGCTACATTAGAAGCAGGGTGGCTCTGATTTCAGACTTTGATTCTGTGTAGCAGTGGCAGGGACACATCTTGAAGAACATGCAGAGCTACGGAGAGCCCGTTTGACAGGAGCCTTGTCTGGGCCGTGTTGGGACAGTAGAGGTAGAAGCAGGTCAAGAGTGCGCATGCCCCATCTGTGATCAGATTCAGCGCCTCATGTCTGTTGGAGCTGCTCTGTGATCCTGAGAAGTGCTGCTCAAGTGACGGTCCCCTTCTTTGTTTCAGGGGACTCTAGTAGGGTGGACCAAAGGCTTCAAGGCAACCGACTGTGAAGGGGAGGACGTGGTGGACATGCTCAGAGAAGCCATCAAGAGGAGAAATGTAGGCTGTGGTGGGGAGGCACAGGTTGGACCTTGCCCTCTTCCCCTGCTCTGGCTGCTATGCCCGGGCCCTGTGACACAGGCCTTGGTCTGCCTTGTTTGTGCCCCTTGCACATTCTGCTTTCAGGGCAGGTGGCTTGCTTCCTTTGCAGGAGTTTGACCTGGACATAGTTGCAATCGTGAATGACACAGTAGGGACCATGATGACATGTGGCTATGAAGACCCCAATTGTGAGATTGGCTTGATTGCAGGTGAGTGGTCAGGCATGACGCACTGGCCTGATCCCATCTGTCTCCAGGGGTGGTGGGGGTCGCTGCTCTGCTGCCAGAGGTTACTCTAGAGGGGGTTGCAGTTCAGTCTGGGGTTCTAGGCTGAATAATTCCAAATCTCCTAACGTCTTTCTCACAAAGGCCCTAAGCCATGGTCATTGTTTTCATTGAGGAAGGAGAAGACACACAAAGGAGTTTTCTTCCTTTTTGTCCTTCATGTTTTAGACTTCTTCATAATTGTATATAATGTGTCATTTTTAGAGTCTCCCCTCATTACTGTGCCCCGTTCCTCAGACTCCCTGCTTTCAACTTACAGTTCTAGGGTCAGGTATCTTGGGAGGAAGGAGGCCACTGTGGAAAATGGTGGTCTCGGGCTGTGGAGCTGGGCTCTGACCCTGGCTCTGCTGCACACCTCGCCATTGCCTGGATTCTTTTGGCTCTTTGGGTGCACGTGACGGACAAGAGTTGAAAGGAAGCTTAGATGGAGGAAGGGTGTGGTCTGAGGTGACACAGGACCTTTAGGCACTTGTAGAAGTAGCCTGGCAGTGATCCAAATTCAAGAGTGGCTTCCAGAGGGAGAAGTTTCTCTGAGAAGCGAGGGGACAGGTGGGATTTAAAGACTGAAGATGAGCATGAATGGCTTTCCAGGTGACAGGCACAGCTGAGTGGAGACAGAGCCTGGTTCTGGGCTTGTCTGGGCTCACTGGATAAGAGCAAGAGGCAAGACAGGCAAATGAAGATTAATGGGTATGTGTTCAGTGCTCTCCTGCAGACTCCCGTCTGCACATGAGCAGAAGCAAGCTGAGTATTCTGACTCACACGAGTTTCCTCTTCAGTAGGAAGGTTGGGCCAGATACAGGAGGCTGCACAGATGAGGCCTGCATGAGTTAATATGATGGGTACCTAGACTGCTGTGTGGGAGTTCTGGGGCCCGGGGGAAAGAATGGCTCCCGGATACCCAAAGTCCACTCGTCCAAGGTTGGAATATTCCTCATGGCCCTTATCAGTGCCAACTGCTACGTCTGTGGGTCCTAGGAAGCTTCGCATACCTGTAGGACTGCTGCCGCTGCTGGGGATGAGATGATAGACATGAGGAGGAGGAGGATAATATTAATAAAGATGATGATAGGGATGACGATGATACTGATGATGATAGGCAAGAGGGTCATGATGATGAAAATTCTACTGCTGTGAGGATGATGATGATGATAGGAATGGTGGGAGTGATGATGTGGCTAAAGATACTCATGGCGATTGATGCTAACTAAGGTGATGGCTATAGTGGTGATGGGGAATACGATGGTGGTGGTGATGATGATGATGCTGTCACTGATAATGATGGGGATGATGCCGATCCTGCTGATGATAGGGATGATGATGGTGGTGGTGGTGATGGGGAATCTCAGGATGATGGGGACGCTGTTGCTACTGCTGAAGATGGTTAAGTATTGGCTATTTAACATGTGGAGAAAACATACAAATGCCTCAATTTTTCTTTATAATGACTTCATAGAGCACTTAAGACTGGCCTGCTGAATACAAAACTGGAATCCCGTCCAGCTCTGTCTCAGACCCCAACTTATTTATGACACTCACCTGCCTTCTCTTAGACCAGGTGTCGTCTTTGAGGTCTAAAGTCCCTCCATGATTCCTCCCAGGGACAGGAAGCAACGTGTGCTATATGGAGGAGATGAGGAACATTGAGCTGGTGGAAGGGGACGAAGGGCGGATGTGCATCAACACCGAGTGGGGGGCGTTTGGAGATAATGGCTGCATAGACGACATCTGCACCCAGTATGACAAGGAAGTGGATGAGGGCTCCTTGAATTCAGGCAAGCAGAGGTGAGAAGGGCAGGCGGTTGTGTGTGTGTGTGTGTGTGTGTGTGTGTGTGTGTGTGTGTGTGTGTGTGTGATGGGAGCGGTTTCTCCAGGCCCAAGGAGCAGTTCTGTTGTTGTAGCATCGACCTGATAGCTTTGTCTATGCCTGTTACACCTCTGTACCTGATGTCAGTACCCAGGAATAAAAGAAGGCCATCTTGATGTTTCTAACTCAGAAGGAGGGGTCACTTTTCTAACCAGCACTAGGCACCATGAAGGCTAGCGGGGCTCAGGAAGCCAGCCAGAAGCTGTCAGAACGTCTGCGTGCCAGGGTGCCTGGGTGTCACAGAGCAGGGGTGTGGTGACCTGGAGGGCCCTCGGATGGGCTTTACTAGGTCCAGTTTAGAGGTCAAGGCCCTTAGCCTTGTCAGGTCAGTGGGCTGTCGGGGTGGGAAAGTGGCCCACACAGTGGATGGAGGACTGGTTCTCAACACGGTGTCACATCTTGTCATGGGTCACACGCCTTCAGTTAGTGACCACTGAAAGGCAGAAGAGCATGAATGACTTCTAAACACCTCACAGGAGATTTCCCCCTACACTCTGATGCACATCGATGAGTGGGGAGGAAAGAACTAGACCGGGGCCATGCTAGTGTCCTAGGCCCTTCCCCTGGAACAGGCTTGGGAAACTTTTCTCTGTAAAGGGCCTGAGAGTGTTTTAGATTTCGTGGCTCATGTGGTCTCTATCCAGTTAAACTTGGACTTAGAGTAAACTGAGGGATTTATTGTGGTGGCTGAGAAGCAAGTAGAGGCTGGACAGGTTGGAAATGTGCAGAGATGGGCTTCAAGGGGGACTGTCTGGGACTCTTGAGCTGAGAGCATTGCCTAGGGAGAGGCTTGAGCAAGGACAGCATGGGTATTGGTGATCCCTCACGCTATTTGGCAATTTTTGTGGCTGGGTGACAGGTGAGCTGTTGTCACCCCAGTGTGAGCCTGTAGTTATGAAGCAAAGGGCCTTCAGGCCGAGGGTGCAGCACAGTTCTAGAGTAGTGCACTCAAGACCTGGGCTCAGTTCTCAGCACTGCGTTAGAAAGGGGTTGAATTCAGACTTCTCTCTGAATGACCGTTTGCAGCTCTTTTCGAAAGCAGAGTGTCTGGGATTTAGTCCTGTGTCTCTGCTGGGGTTCGTATGTCTGGACTGAGGGTTTGGTGGAGGACCTGGACTTTTGAATTGGAATGAGGACATGACTGCTCCAAGGTGTGATTGAGGAGAAGGTTTTTGTTGTAGATATGAGGCAGAGTCCAGCCAGAGGAATCTGAAGAGTCCAGAGAGAGAGAAAGAAGTAGACAAAACACGGTCACTAGACTGAACTGGGTCATGAAAGAAAGGAACAAAACAGAGAGAGGGCCAAAAGAGGGAACCAAGAGCCAGGAGACCAGGACCGAGAAAGCACATGGCCAAAATAGGAAGGTTGTAGGGAATGAGAAGCTGGGGGGGAGGGAAGTCCATAGACTGGAGAAGTTTAAGGTGGGGGGGGAGCATGTTGAGAAGACCTGAGAGGAGCCAGGAGGCCAGCATGCACTTTCGTATGCTAATAGATACCACAGTTAGCCATTTGTCCTTTGGACACGACAAAGCTGCCTTGTGGTATTTTGCAGTTTTTCTACGGGTTCCTAAAACAGTTGTGGGTATTAGGCTGGCCCGCAGGTCTCAGTGCATTTGTGTTCCATTCACCTCTATGGTCAGTGGGAGTTGGGCTGCCCAGCAGTCAGGAGCTAGGAGTGCTGGGGGATCGCGCTGCTTCTGGGCTCTGGCTGCTTCCTAAGCCTTCTCTTCTCTTGCTGCTTGTCCTTATGGAGTGTGGTGGGGAAGGGAAAAGGGTGATTCTTTTCCTTCTGAGGCAGCGTTTCTCTGTGTAGACCAGGCTGTCCTGGAACTCACTCTGTAGACCAGGCCGTCCTGGAACTCGTTCTGTAGACCAGGCTGGCTCCAGACTCACGGGTCTGCCTGCCTCTGCCTCCCAGGCGCAGTTCCCCCACCTCCCAGCCGGATGATTTTTTTTTTTAGCGCTTCTTGAGTGTTGGTAGCTTGCTGTGATCTCTGGTGGACAGATGTCTTCAAAGGCAAAGTTGATGTCCCAGTGTCTAATGTAAAACCAAAACCCAGATGAAATAAACACAGCAGGAGACTTCCAGCAGCATAGACTGGCAGCAGGAGGCCTGCACCATTGGTGTTGGGGCCCCCAGAGGGGTGCTACCTGCCTTCTGCAGTCCTCAGAATCCTGCTCTACTCACAGTAGGGGTGCGGAAAGCTGTACTGGCTCCCAGGTGGCTCTGACGCCTGCCTTTCTCACCTCACCCCGCTCTCTGCATTGCATTTACTTGACAACTGCAGGAAGAGCCTCCCCAGGCCACTGTGAACCGCGAAGCACGGGTGCCCGTGACACACTTTCCACACCCAGACCTGAGTCCTCGGAAACCACTTCTCTGCCGGCCTCAGTCTTATCCCCTCTTCCCCAAACAGATATGAGAAAATGACCAGTGGGATGTACCTGGGGGAGATTGTGAGGCAGATCCTGATCGACCTCACCCGGCAGGGGCTACTCTTCCGAGGGCAGATTTCACAGCGACTCCGGACCAGGGGTATCTTTGAAACCAAATTCCTGTCCCAGATTGAAAGGTAACCTGTGATCAAACTGGCTTGCTTGGTGTGGGATGCTTGGGGAAGGGAATGGCTGTCATCCGCCAGGGTAAGAAGATTTGAGATCGGAAAATGAACGCAAGACTGGGGGTGCAGCTCATTTGTCTAGCATGCATGATGCCCTGGGTTCGATCCCCGGCATCTTCATAAAGCAGGTGTGGTGATTCACACCTGTAATCTCAGCCTTCAGGAAGTGGAGGAGGAGGATAAGAAATTCAAGGTCCTCAGGGGCTGCATAGTGAGTTTGAGGCCATTCTGTAGTATGTGAAACCCTGGAGAGAGAAACAGATAGAGTGTGTAGGAAGGCTCCAGTGGGCATGGAGTTCCCTCAGTGCCAATCCACTATCCACGCGCATCAGATTCCAGCCCAGAGGACAGCATACTGCCTGGGGGATTAGCCTCAGGTCACTTAACTGAAAGGACTGCCTGGGAATTAAGTTAGGGTGAATGTTAACCGTGCTCTATTCCTGAAATGACAATGTACCTGTAACAAAAAAAGTTACTCATATGCTTGTTACCAAACACAGCTATTTCGAGTTTTGTGAAGCATGTCTCTTCTTAAGTTCTGTCATATATGCAAACTTGTTTGATACATGCCATCATATTACATGTAATTTGCATATTATTTATTTAGTGTTTAGTCATAGAAAATTTCACTTACAATGCATTTTGTTTGTTTGTTTTTTAGACAGGGTCTGATTCAGCCCAGGTGACCTCAAAGTTGCAATGTAGCTGATATCTGCCTCTACCTCCCAAGTGCTGGGGTTCCAAGTGTGTGTTACCACTGGGCGTTGGTGGCGCATGCCTTTAATCCCAGCACTCGGGAGGCAGAGGCAGGCGGATCTCTGTGAGTTCAAGGCCAGCCTGGTCTACAAAGAGAGTCCCAGGACAGCCATGACTGTTAGACTGAGAAACCCTATCTCAAAAGAAAAAAAAACAACCAAGTGTGTGCTACCATTCCTGGCTTCTGTTTTCCATTTTACTTTTTATTACGGAAAATTTTAAACATCTATGAAAGTAGAACAATAGTGAAATGAACCCAGTGTTCCCATCACTGCTCCCAACAAAGGTCAACTCATCACCAAAGCGGCTTTGTCACACAGGCTTTGTGACACACTCCTACTGGCCCAGCCTCTGGCTAGGTTAATTATGGAGCCCACACCTATGTCAGCCAAGTATAAATATTTCAAATGTATTTCCGAAACAGCAGCTCTTAAAGACCATAATGAGTACCATTATCATACCTAAAACAGCTAATATTAAAAAGCTTAATCTCAAAATAGTTTTTTAGGCTGGACAGTGGTGGCGAATGCCTTTAATTCCAGCACTCAGGCTGAGGCAGGTAAATCTCTGTGAGTTCAAGGCCAGCCTGGCCTACAGAGCGAGTTCCAGGACATCCAACGCTGTTACATAAAGAAACCCTGTCTCGAAAAACCCCAAACCAAACCAAAACAACACACACACACAAACATCTTCTTAGATTTCTATTTCCAACATTGCCAAACAAAAGCAAACAGTAGTGCATTTGTTTAGTATGCATTAGTAGCCAAGTGGGACCTTTCTATTTGGGTGGTGTGTTTTAATAGCCATCCCCTCCATTCCTTATTTTCCCAACCGCTATATCGTTTTCAAGGAAACTACATCTTATCCTACATGTTTCCTGTATTCCAGAGTTTGATGATATATAGCATTTAGTACTCTCCTCTGTCTCTTATTTTCTGGAAATCTTACAGCTACCCTGAATGCTGATCATATTCAGTGTTGAATTTTGGTCTGTCTTTATTCCACACTATCACCACTCACTGATGCTTATTTTGACAGTCTTATGCTGTCAGCATTAATTAATTAGAGTGCTTCTTGAAAGAGAACTTCCCTTTCTCAGCTCGTTAGTATAACAATCGTTTTGAATATCTTTATGAAACTTCCCTGTTACTATACTATAATTTACTAAAATTCCCTTTAGTATACCATGCCAAGGTTATAATTTATGAATTTTTGCCATTCTGAGCAACACCATAATTACTTTTTGCACACAGTCATTTGCAGCTTATGAATTATTTACTTACATTTGACAAAAGGAGCTCTTCCCCGAGGGCACATTGCTTTTTGGAAGGTGGCTTCGGAGGCTGGGGATGTAGCTTTGTTAGAGCACTTGCCTAGCACACACAGCGCACATGGTTCAATCCCAGCACAGCATACGCCAGGTATGGTGGAACAGGCTTGGAATCCCAGCACTTGAGAGGCAAAGAAAGACAAGTTTCAGGGCATCTTTGGTTATATAATGAGTTCTAGGGCAGCCCTGCCCAAAAAACATTTCCTTTTCCACCACCACCATCAGTACCAGCACCAGCATCAGCACCAGCAACTGCACCACCACCACCACCACCACCACCATGCAGCATGTATAGATTTACTGGTTTCTCTCAATCTGTGCTCAACCATTGGCTTTTAGTAATCTTTCTGGTTATATGGTTATGAATGACGAAGCACTGCGGGGGGCAGTGTTGGGGGTGAAGAGAGACCAAGCCAGGCATGGTGGTACACATCTATATCCAAGCCCTTGGGAGGCAGAAACAAGAACTGTTCGGGCTACAAAGGGAGTGCCAGGCCAGCCATGGCTACACAACAAGACTGTATTCCAAAACACAGTTAAACAAACAGTAACAGAAGAAAGAAAAGAAAAATGCATTAGTATTCTAACTTTACAAGTGAAGTCAGTGTTCACTGGGGAGCCACTGTAGGGTTCTTGCTGTCTGAGGAGCTGGTGGTAGAAGAAAGAATCACTGTAGAATCAGGGACCTATAAAAGGAGAGCTCGGATTAAAGTGCAGTGGCTGTTCTTGCAAAGGACCTGGGTTCAGTTCAGAGTACCAGCACGGCAGCTCATAACTGCCTGGAACTCTAACTCCAGGGGATCTGGCGCCCTCTTCCGGCCTCTGCAGGCACAAGTCACTCACTGCAGGCAAAACACTCATACATGTAAAATGAAAATAATAAATCTTTAAAAAGAGGAGAGGAGGAGGGGAAAAGAAAAAGGAGGGGAGAAGAAGGAGGTGGTGAAGGGGGAATAGGAGGAGGAGAAATAGGAGGAGGGGGAGAAGCCGGAGGAGGGAAGGAGGAGGGTGAATCGGCAGTGGCATATGGTCTAGAATGCTAATGAGCAGGTGTAACCAGTGGGAGCCTCTGAGAACAGCTTCCCCCCCAGTCAGCCTGGCTGGCCTGTGTTCTGTTTTCCCTGGGCCCAAACGAGTTCTTCCTAGAAAAAGCCAGGTATGGTAGCGGTCTATGTCTTAGCACACAGCTGAGGCAGGAGAGTCAGCGTTTGAGGCCAGCCTGGGTTTCAAAGGAAGATTCTGGGGAGAAGGAGAAGCGAGATGGAGAGAGTTCACTTTCTCTGTTGGTAGAGTGCTTGGCTAGCATGAGGGAGGCTCTGGGTTCGGTTCCTAGCATCACAACATAAATAAACAAGTGAAAGGAAGAAAACAAGAAGCACCTGTAACCCAACCAATGTCTCAGGAGCTGTCCTTCTGCCTTTCCCGGCCAAAGACAAACGTTAAAACAAACTCACTGAAACCCACACAAGCACCACGGTTCCCTGAGACCAATGGCACTTTATCAACCCTGGCTTCTGCAGCCACGAGTTTTTCCCATGGCATCCACTGGCTCCACAAAAGTCATCCCCACAGTCTGCAGATAGTTCCCTAGCCTGGCTGGCCACAGTGGTGGCTTGTCATTCTTTTGAGGGCACTGGTTTTCCCTTAGCCTCGCTGAAACGGTCCAGCATGCAACCTCACACACTTTAGCTTGAGGGTCGGAGATCAGTTAAGTGCTATTGGTTATCACCGCTTCACTATGACTTAACTGGGGTCTAGACTTGAGGCCAGTTTGTCCCTGTGGTGCCATTTCCCTGTACATGTTCATGGTCCTATCAGGTTCCCATTCTTTTCTTTTATTAATTTTTATTATTTGAGAATTTTATAAATGCATGTAATTTGTTTTGGTCAAACCTGCCCCCCACCCCTTCCCTCAAGTTCCTACCTCACCTCCCCCAACATTACTCCCTCCCCAATTTCATATTTTGTTTTTAAGAAAACCCACTGGGTCCTCCTCACGCTGCCTGTGTGTACATGTGTGTACATGTGTGTACATGTGTGTACATGTGTGTAGGGACGTTGACCGGAGCTTGGGTACCCTCTTGGGGCCCGTGTCCTGAGAGAACTGACTCTCTCCAGCTGACTCTCCCTTTTCCAGTGACCATCAACGGCCCATGGATAGCTCCTTCACTAAGGGTAGGGCTTCATCTTTAAAGAGCATATAGTTAGCTGGGTTGACAGCACATACCTTTAATCCCAGCATTTGGGAAGTAGAGGAAAGAAGGTTACCATGAATCTCAGGCCAGACTGAGCTACATAGTCAATTCTAGGCCAGCCAGAGGCTATGCAGCAAGAAAAAACTAGAAGTAGGAGGAAATTGACCTCCAGAATGGGGAGAGAGATTACCACGGGGGAGTACTAAGTTGCTGGGAGGCTCCTGTCTAAGAGGATATCCCTTGGACTCTGAACCTCAGACTCCTGGGAAACATCTGGTCTGTTCATTGCTGACCCTAACTCTAGCTCCCAGTGAGATGGACAAGGCTGTATATAACCCAAGGGCACTCACTTGCTATTTAAAGGCAATGGGACTTCCTAGGGTGGGGGACTTCTGTGCCTCTGACACTCTACACCCTTAGCCGTTGACAGCACGCGTCTGGCTAAGGCCCATTCCAGAAGACTCTGGATCATATGGCCCAGGTCCAGGTGCAGGAAGCAGCTCCTAATGCTCTGACTGTTTGTCCACAGTGACCGGCTGGCCCTCCTGCAGGTCAGGAGGATCCTGCAGCAGCTGGGCCTGGACAGCACGTGTGAAGACAGCATTGTGGTGAAAGAGGTGTGTGGGGCCGTGTCTCGGAGGGCTGCCCAGCTCTGTGGTGCAGGCATGGCTGCCATCGTGGAGAAAAGGCGAGAAGACCAGGGGCTGGAGCACTTCAAGGTCACCGTGGGCGTGGATGGAACGCTCTACAAGCTGCACCCTCAGTGAGTTTTGCCTGAGATGGGTGTGGGAACTGGGACAGAGGGTAGGCATGCTGGTGGCCAGGGCTGGACCCACACAAACTCTTCATCCTCACAGTGGGAAGCTGTGGCCCCATGGGGATGGTAACTGAGCATCTTATTGTCCTCTGCGGTTGAGACTGAAGCAAGGGCTGGAGGTTCTGCTTCCTGGCTGTCCACAGGAGGCTGAGTCAGCCTCCAAAGCCCAGGCAGGGTCCTTGTCTGGGCCAGGTCAACAGCAGTGACCGCTGCCTCTTGGGGTATCATAGAGATTCAATGGGCACCACCCGGCACTAAGGAAGCACACGTTGTGATTACAGTATGTTGGGCCAGGCAGAGAGCTTGGCCAGAGCACCAGCCAGCTTTGAACTGACCGTAATTTCTCAGTTCAGTCAGTTGATAGAAAAATGTAGAGTCCTGTCACACACACACAGCTGAATCCTGGCTCTACCATGTAGAAGCCATGTGGCATAGGACTACTTTTGTGTCTGCTTTGGCTCTTTTTCTGTAGAATGAGGACAAAAAACAAAACAAAACAAAACACAAACAAAACCATAGTCACCCCATAGGCTGTCAAGAGGTTAAAGTTTAATTGCTCACTTATAAAAAGCTATTACTTTTTTGTTTTTTTTGAGACAGAGTTTCTCTGTGTAGCCCTGGCTGTCCTGGAACCCTCTCTGTAGACCAGGTGGGCCTCGAATTTAGTGATCCACCTACTTCTTCCTCCCAAGTGCTGGGATTAAAGGCATGTGCCACCACTGAGTGGCCAAAGTTATCATTTTTGTTTAATGTTTCCCATTTTATTTTGGTGACAAGGAGATGTATGAATAAGATTATAAAATTCCTGTAGTGCTGATTGCTGGCTCATAGCTTCTCTCTTTGTCCCTTGGTGACACACATTTTGGAGTTTGGTTTCACAAATACAGACTTTAAAATATTTTTGCATTTATTTTGTATGTATGTGTGTATATGTATGTGTATATATATGTGTGTATTTTGTATGTATGTGTATATATGTGTGTGTATTTTGTATGTATGTGTGTATATGTATGTGTGTATTTTGTATGTATGTGTGTATATGTATGTGTATATATATGTGTGCATTTTGTATGTATGTGTGTATATGTATGTGTATATATATGTGTGTATTTTGTATGTATGTGTGTATATATGTTTGTGTATATATGTGTATGTATTTTGTATGTATGTGTGTATATATGTGTATATGTATGCGTGTATTTTGTATGTGCGTATATATGTATGTGTATATATATGTGTGTATTTTGTATGTATGTGTATATATATGTATGTATTTTGTATGTATGTGTATATATGTATGTATTTTGTATGCATGTGTATATATGTATGTATTTTGTATGTATGTGTATATATGTATGTGTATATATATGTGTGTATATGTATGTGTGTATATGTATGTGTATATGTGTGTGTTATTTTGTATGTATGTGTGTATATATGTATGTGTGTATATATGTATGTATTTTGTATGTATGTGTGTATATGTATGTGTGTATATATGTATGTATTTTGTATGTATGTGTGTATATGTATGTGTGTATATGTGTGTATTTTGTATGTATGTGTGTATATATGTATGTATTTTGTATGTATGTGTGTATATATGTGTATGTGTGGATGCACAGGGGTTAGTTCTCTCCCATCACTACATGGGGCCCAGGAATGGAGCTCCCGTCATCAGGCCTGCCTGGTGGCAGGCACCTTCAAGACATCTTGCCAGCTCCAAATCTCTTTCTTGAACTAAGACTTGACCAAAGGCAGAAAGAAAGCATACAATCTTTTTAAAAGGTACTGATGCCAGGCGGTGGTGGTGCACATCAGTCTCTCTAAGTTCAAGGCCAGCCTGGTCTACAGAGTGAGTTCCAGGACAGCCAGGGCTGTTACACAGAGAAACCCTGTCTTGAAAAAAACAACAAGCAAACAACAGCAAAAAGGTGCTGACAGTTTGATGGAGTCCCCCCTCCCCTTTATGGTAAGGCCCTCAGGACTAGGAATGAGTCCCTTAGCCTGCTGAAGAGCTTCTGTGAAACCCTCCAGCTAATACCATACTTGGCTGAGAGGAAAACCTGGCCACAGTAGTCCATCTGCCAACCCCACTGCAAGATCTGATATGTCTTCCTCTTTCCTAGCTTTTCCCGGATTCTGCAGGAGACGGTGAAAGACCTGGCCCCCCAGTGTGACGTGACGTTCATGTTGTCAGAAGACGGCAGCGGGAAGGGAGCAGCTCTGATCACGGCTGTAGCCAAGAGGTTACAGCAGCAGGGGAAGGAAAACTAGGTGGCCTGCCAGGTCTGTGATGCCCCGTGCCGACCAGGGACTACCAGATGACCTCCTGGCTGACCTTCCCTCTCCAGGGCCGAAAGAGAGCCAGAGTTCTCAGTACCCTTAGCATCCTGGTACTGGCTTTGCAGTAACACTCAGCAACACCTCCCTTTGGCATATTTTGGCCAATGATAGGTTGACTTTTGAAATCAAAGGATCTGGCCCAAGAGATCCCATTTTGGCCGGGCGGTGGTGGCGCATGCCTTTAATCCCAACACTCCGGAGGCAGAGGCAGGCGGATCTCTGTGAGTTCGAGGCCGAGCTGGACCGACAGCCTCCAAAACAATACAGAGAAACCCTGTCTCGTAAAACCAAAAAAAAAAGAAAGAAAGAAAAAAAAAGATCCCATTTTGGCAAATTTTTCAGTTGAGTTGTCAGAGTTCAATAGCTCCAAGTCCCTCACTGCTGGACTCAGAATCTGCCCAGGAGGTTAGTGACTTAGTTCCTTTCTGGAATCAAGCTACCTGTGGCAGGAGACTGGTCCCCAAGACCTATGGATGAACCCTTGAGAGGGAGAAAGACACTTAGTGACCTAGGGGATCTAGCTTAACATGGCCTCACTTGTCATGTCGGCTTCATAGGTGCTGGGAGAACAAGGGCTTTGGCACATTCATCTCCGAATGAGGAGGAGCCCATTGCCCCTGGAGCGAGGAGGAATCGTAACCAGATTCCTCTGGGGTGTCACTCTCCAGATGTGTGTTGAGGGGTGGGACACCACGCAAGGTACTGTCTTCCATTTCACATCATGCAGTAGGTGGCAGTCACTGCTGTCCCATATTTGTTTCAAGGACCGTTAGGTCTATGAAATACAGTCCGAAAATAAAAGAATCTTGAGTTTCTAGGAATCTTGGCGTGAGGTGTTGGTCTTTCTTCTGAGAGGCTCATTGCCGTCTCCATGTCCTGTCAGAATGAGGGAGCTGTAGAGACAGAAGGTGCTCTGGAGTCAACTCTTTAGTCCAGACTTCCTGCCAAGAGAAGGACCATTTGGAACATATCCAAATTTCACTTGGTTGAGGTGAAGTACTGAGCAGCGACTGAGCAGTGGCCATGTGACCCTATAGCGCTTGCTCGTGAACTGGAGTCAGCTGGAAGTCATGAGTGTGTGTGTGTATGAATTCACATGTGTGTGAGTGTGTGAGTGTGTGTGTGTGTGTACGTGCATGTGCATAGAAGCCAGAGGACAACCTCAGTGTCACCCTCAGAAATGCCATCCATTTCCTTTGAGTTAGGTTCCTTTAGTGAGATCTGGGCCTCACTGTTTAAGGGTAGGCTGGCTGTCCAGCAAGTTCCAGTCATCCTCTTGTCTCCACCTCCCAACATTAGAATTACAGACATACCAGCGTACCAGGTATCCTCATCTGTGGATGGAGCTCAGGTCCTGATGTTTGGAGGCAAGCATTTTCCTATCTCTGCAGGCCTGGATCCTCCCAGCACTTCCCTATCTCAGCTGTCCCTGAAATCCGTTCTCCTACTCTGCTGTCTTTTTCTCCGAAGCAGGGTCCTACTGTCCACTCTGTCTCTTCTAACCCTATCATGCAGAGCTGTCTGAAATTGACATGTCCCTGACCTTTTCTCTTCACTCCCAGCTCTTCTCGAACTGCCTGCATGGTCTGTCTTGACACCATTGGCTTCTTATCTGCTCTAGTAGACTGCAAGCTTGTTACCAGACATCTTTTTTAAATTGTCGAAGGGAACCAGGACTGTGTCATTCTGATTAAATACTTACTGGGGAGGGATATGGTTTTTAAAGAAAAGCTTTCTGAGACCTTTTCCTGGGGGTGGGGTGAGGAAAAACAGGTCATTATCACAGGAAACAACGTAAGAAGATGGCACACTCCCAGCTGATTTGATGTGCTTGATACATTGTTTCAACTCCATAGAGTTGCGGGCAGGGTAGCCTCTTCCTAAGAGGATGGCCGCTAGGACTAGGAGCAGAATGTGCCTGCAGACAGAGCTGTGAGACAGAGGGCACCTGGGGCTGGGACCAGATGAGGGGGCTGAGGGGGCCTCTGGAATGTTTTCCGAAGCACTCAGTAAACATGTATGATGTTGGTCCCATGAACTGGCCTGGCCCTAGATGGTACCCTTAGCCTTTTCTGTGTTTTAAGGCATACTCTCTGGAAATCCTGTAGGATTTGTTGCATTTATGTTTGTATTTGGATATAATGTCTCCTTGAGGAAATCTCTTCCTCTTCCCCCAGTTTCCCTTCCTCCTTATAAATAAAAATTTATTTTTATTGTATGTGTGTGAATATTTTACATACATGTATGTTTGTATACCATGTGTGTGTGAGCCTGGTGCCCACAAAGCCAGAAGAGAGCATTGGATTCTCTGGAACTAGAATTACAGATGCTGTGAGCTGCCGTGTGGGTACGAGGAATGAGACCTGTGTCCTGTGTAAGAGCAGCCAGTGCTCTTAGCCTCTGAGCCGTCTCTCCAGGCCCTTCCTTCTTTCTGTTGTTGTGGTGGGGGGGTTGTTGTTGTGTTTGTGTTTGTTTTTCGAGACAGAGATTCTCTTTGTAACAGTCCTGGCTGTCCTGGAACTTGCCTTGTAGACCAGGCTGGCCTCAAAATCACAGTCCACCTGCCTCTGCCTCCCAAGTGATGGGATTAAAGGTATGCACAACCATGCCTGGCTTCTTCTTTTGGTTTTTAAGTTCTCTCATTTTTTATTAAGTGTGTGTGTGTGTGTGTGTGTGTGTGTGTGTGTGTGTTGTTGTGCACATAGGAATGGGTGCATGTGGGTATGTGTATATGTGTAGGTTGGAGGGCAACTTTCTGGAATTAGCTCTGTCCTATGTGGGTCCTAGGATTGAACTTGAGTCAGCTTGGTGGCAAGCACTTTTTTTTTTTTTTTTTTGGTTTTTACGAGACAGGGTTTCTCTGTATTGTTTAGGAGGCTATCGGTCCAGCCTGGCCTCGAACTCACAGAGATCCGCCTGCCTCTGCCTCCCGAGTGCTGGGATTAAAGGCGTGCGCCACCACCACCCGGCTGGTGGCAAGCACTTCTAACTCACCAGTCCTTCTTTTAGGCTTTGTGAAACAGTCACAAAGACCAAAGGGACTTGGCCTTGAACTCGTATTGGTTCTCCTGTTTCTGCCTCCTGTTGGCTTGCCTCCCAATTTTACTGGGCCCTGAAGAAATCTCCTTAGGTTTTGTTTTAGTCATCTGCGAACCTGGCTGTCCTTGTAACCTTTCCCCAGTTCTTCCTGGGTACCACACTGTCAACTCTCCATCTCCATCCCACTTCCCTGGCAGTGAGCAGCATCCTTTTTGGACAGATGGTCTGGCCTACAGGTTCAGCCATTCCCTCCCTTGATCTCTGAGCATATGTATGCAGGTATGAGGAGACCATCCTACTTTCTTGCTTAGTTCTGATCTCTTGGAGGGAAAAGGATCCCCAAGGTATCTAGGGACCCTTGGCCATTGTAGCCAACTGATGACATCATAGAGTTTGAAGCAGAAAAGGAACTCCAGAGAGGGCAAACATCCATTCCATGACTTCAGGAGTCCACCCATGAAACACCCGGGACAATGGAGAGCCCCCCTCTGCTCAAGGCTTGCTAGGCCAGATCAGTAACTACACCAAGGTAAACTGTCTTTAGGAGAACCTCACAGACTTTCTTCTTTAGAAGATAAGCTGGGGATGTAGCTCAATGGGTAGAGAACTTGCCTAGCATACAACAAGTCATGGGTTCTGATCTCTAGCCCTGCATAAACTTGGAGCGGGGACATTTGCTCAAATCTCAGCACTCAGAAGGGGAAATTCAAGGTAAGTGAGTTAGAAGCCAGCCTGAGATACATATAACCCCATTTCACAATAAAATGAAAACAGCCTTGGCATCGTGGAGGCAGAAGCAGGTAGATTTCTGTGAATCTGAGGCCAGCCTGGGCAATGTAACAAAGGCTGTGTTCGGCAATGGAAGACAAAAGCTTTCTTTTCTACATTTTACAGCGCCATGCTGGCTTTCTCTTGGCACTCTTACAGAAAGAGCTGACAGGTAGAGATGTTAGACTTAGGTTCCTCCATCACCCACCTTTCCACAACAAGTGGCCTCAATTGTCATCATTCAGGAACAAAATTTCTTCCGCCCGCAGGCAAGAAAGGGTCTCAATGGGAATGAGGACTGAGTTCTCAATCTCCTTCCGCCCTGTGGTCCCCAGAGCTAACTGCAGCAGCGGGCAGTGTGTAGACCTTGTTCTCTGAAGAAACCAATGAGCGAATGGCCAAACCAGCAAATGATTGTGTTTACTGCTGCTGTTTGACTCTGCTCATCTGTCTCACCCAGTGGGACCCAAGCTTTACATACATAGGCCATGGCTCTATGGGTGCCAAGTCCTGCTTCAGGCATTGAGGACCCAAGGAAATACGACACCATTGTGCCACGGAAGAGTCCACAGGAAAGAGAAGGGCCTATTTGTATCTGCGGGACAGCGTGGTAAATGAGGAGGTGGAGGCAGACTGTACACTCTGTGCTTTAGACTCTCTGAGTGTGTACTCCCATGCATGGGTGCACCATGGACCCTTGAGGTAATAGCATGAAACTTAGGGATCCTTCCTCAGGAAAAAAAAATGTTAAGTGCATAAAATGCAGAAGATTCCTGAAGGAATTATACAACTCTTAAGGAAGTGGTACTAAGGCTGGGGAGGCATGCCTGTTATTCTGGTTACTTGGGAGGCTGAGGTGAGGGTTACAAGTTTAAGATTAGCCTTGGCCACATAGGGAGTCTAGCCTATACTACATAGTAAGCTTCTCTCTCTAACCTCTACTCTATCTCCCCCCAAAGAAAGCAATGAGATAGCCATACATGTTCTTGTTTATTAATTTGTTATAGAACAAGTGCCAACAGAACCTAATAGCTATCATAATTTTGAAGCTCTTAGTGTAAACCTTATTTTGGAGACATTTACAACAATAGCATAAAAATGCCTGTAGTTTCTGGGTCAGCAAGATGACTTAGTGTTGTAAGGCACTTGCGGCAATCTGAACTTGACCCCCAGGACCCAGGTGGTGGAAGAAGAGAACAGACTCCCAGAAGTTGTCCTCTGACCTCCACATACATGAGGTGACAGATGTCACCAACCCCATAAGCATAAAAATAAATTTTGAAAAGTCTGTGATTTCTGCTGAAGACAGGTCAGTATGATATTCACCACGGTGGCTTTCACCTCTAGAAACATTTAGAGATGTCTCTTCTTCTACGGTAGGTCCTAATGACAAATACATTTCCCCTCTATTTTTCTGTTAGTAGCCGAGACTTCATTTTTTCAGGCTGTGGGAAGTGTATGCTGTTTTATTCAAATAGCTTCAATTTCCATCTTATTTATCCCCTGCCACTCTTGCTGTCCCAACACTGGCTCTGCTGCTTCTGTCGTCCACGTTGTCTAACTTGTATTCTTGTCTACTTCCTGGAAACCAGGAGAGCCTTTCGGTTAAGCAGCTCCTTCCCTTGTATTAATTCGAATTGTTGGCTATCTTTCTCTTACGTGTTTGATCTTCTATTGTCTAAACAATGTCTTTGAAATATCGTTACTTTCTTTGAGGATTTCATCCAGTATATTTCGATCACATTCACCCCAACTCCACCCAGGCACACCCCTCCTCTCTGTTCCTTCCAACTTCTGCCTTCTTCATTTTATTCAGTAACACATCTACTGCCAGCATTGTCCTAAGTACAGGGCGGTCCACTGGATGTGGTTGACCTACCAGGAGCCACACCCTTAAGGAAAATGAACTCTACCTTCCCCAGAAGCCACCAACTCCCCAAAGCTCCTGAGTTAGGAGTGGGGGCCCATGAACCCCTTCCCCCCTCCATGCTTGATCTTGTGAGGGTCTTATGCA